TACTGCTTAAAAATTAAAATAAAATTCTCTATTCTTCAGGATTGAGTAGGGCTCAGTCCCCCCTGGAACTCAGGTTATTTTTAGATAATTAGAATTATTAAATTTAAAAGAAATAAATTTTTAATTTTTTTTTACTAAGTTTTTGATTGTCTGATGGCATTCGGGTGGGGGTGCTGCTGCTTAAAAATTGAAAAAAAATTTTCTATTCTTCAGGATTGAGTAGGGCTCAGTCCCCCCTGGAACTCAGGTAATTTTTAGATGGTTAGAATTATTAAATTTAAAAGAAATAAATTTTTAATTTTTTTTACTAAGTTTTTGATTGTCTGATGGCATTCGGGTGGGGGTGCTACTGCTTAAAAGTTGAAATAAAATTCTCTATTCTTCAGGATTGAGTAGGGCTCAGTCCCCCCTGGAACTCAGGTTATTTTTAGATAATTAGAATTATTAAATTTAAAAGAAATAAATTTTTAATTTTTTTTTACTAAGTTTTTGATTGTCTGATGGCATTCGGGTGGGGGTGCTACTGCTTAAAAATTGAAATAAAATTCTCTATTCTTCAGGATTGAGTAGGGCTCAGTCCCCCCTGGAACTCAGGTAATTCTCAGATGGTTAGAATTATTAAATTTAAAAGTAATAAATTTTTAATTTTTTTTTACTATAAATTATTGATTGTCTGATGGCATTCGGGTGGGGGTGCTACTGCTTAAAAATTGAAATAAAATTCTCTATTCTTCAGGATTGAGTAGGGCTCAGTCCCCCCTGGAACTCAGGTAATTTTTAGATGATTAGAATTATTAAATTTAAAAGAAATAAATTTTTAATTTTTTTTTACTAAGTTTTTGATTGTCTGATGGCATTCGGGTGGGGGTGCTGCTGCTTAAAAATTGAAAAAAAATTTTCTATTCTTCAGGATTGAGTAGGGCTCAGTCCCCCCTGGAACTCAGGTAATTTTTAGATGATTAGAATTATTAAATTTAAAAGAAATAAATTTTTAATTTTTTTTACTATAAATTATTGATTGTCTGATGGCATTCGGGTGGGGGTGCTACTGCTTAAAAATTGAAATAAAATTCTCTATTCTTCAGGATTGAGTAGGGCTCAGTCCCCCCTGGAAGTCAGGTAATTTTTAGATGATTAGAATTATTAAATTTAAAAGAAATAAATTTTTAATTTTTTTTTACTAAGTTTTTGATTGTCTGATGGCATTCGGGTGGGGGTGCTACTGCTTAAAAATTGAAATAAAATTCTCTATTCTTCAGGATTGAGTAGGGCTCAGTCCCCCCTGGAACTCAGGTAATTTTTAGATGATTACAATTATTAAATTTAAAAGAAATAAATTTTTAATTTTTTTTTACTATAAATTATTGATTGTCTGATGGCATTCGGGTGGGGGTGCTACTGCTTAAAAATTGAAATAAAATTCTCTATTCTTCAGGATTGAGTAGGGCTCAGTCTCCCCTGGAACTCAGGTAATTTTTAGATGATTAGAATTATTAAATTTAAAAGAAATAAATTTTTAATCTTATTTTACTAAGTTTTTGATTGTCTGATGGCATTCGGGTGGGGGTGCTACTACTTAAAAGTTGAAATAAAATTCTCTATTCTTCAGGATTGAGTAGGGCTCAGTCTCCCCTGGAACTCAGGTAATTTTTAGATGATTAGAATTATTAAATTTAAAAGAAATAAATTTTTAATCTTATTTTACTAAGTTTTTGATTGTCTGATGGCATTCGGGTGGGGGTGCTACTGCTTAAAAATTGAAATAAAATTCTCTATTCTTCAGGATTGAGTAGGGCTCAGTCCCCCCTGGAACTCAGGTAATTCTCAGATGGTTAGAATTATTAAATTTAAAAGAAATAAATTTTTAATCTTATTTTACTAAGTTTTTGATTGTCTGATGGCATTCGGGTGGGGGTGCTACTGCTTAAAAATTGAAATAAAATTCTCTATTCTTCAGGATTAAGTAGGGCTCAGTCCCCCCTGGAACTCAGGTAATTTTTAGATGATTAGAATTATTAAATTTAAAAGAAATAAATTTTTAATTTTTTTTTACTAAGTTTTTGATTGTCTGATGGCATTCGGGTGGGGGTGCTGCTGCTTAAAAATTGAAAAAAAATTTTCTATTCTTCAGGATTGAGTAGGGCTCAGTCCCCCCTGGAACTCAGGTAATTTTTAGATGATTAGAATTATTAAATTTAAAAGAAATAAATTTTTAATTTTTTTTTACTATAAATTATTGATTGTCTGATGGCATTCGGGTGGGGGTGCTACTGCTTAAAAATTGAAATAAAATTCTCTATTCTTCAGGATTGAGTAGGGCTCAGTCCCCCCTGGAAGTCAGGTAATTTTTAGATGATTAGAATTATTAAATTTAAAAGAAATAAATTTTTAATTTTTTTTTACTAAGTTTTTGATTGTCTGATGGCATTCGGGTGGGGGTGCTACTGCTTAAAAATTGAAATAAAATTCTCTATTCTTCAGGATTGAGTAGGGCTCAGTCCCCCCTGGAACTCAGGTAATTTTTAGATGATTAGAATTATTAAATTTAAAAGAAATAAATTTTTAATTTTTTTTACTATAAACTATTGATTGTCTGATGGCGTATGGGTGATCCTGCTACTGCTTAAAAATTGAAATAAATTCTCTATTCTTCAGGATTGAGTAGGGCTCAGTCCCCCCTGGAACTCAGGTAATTTTTAGATTCAGTAATTTTTAATTCAGTAATTTTATGTTCAGTATAGAAGTCTCATTTTTAGAGGATAAAATATTTCGGGTTCATATTTGGAGGGGTGATAGAGGAAGACTCTCCGAGGAGCGGCCCTCTCCGTTTTTGCAATAATTTTGCGAGGAAATTATTTTATTAACGATTGAAAGTGGAGTAATTTGAGGTTAATACATTTCCCTCAGTTCAACTCGCGACCACTTCCGAGAATTGGCGCCACCTCCTTGACCACTGACACATAGATCCACTTGTCTGTGTGCTGACCGCCATATTGTCTCCCACTTTCGCCCAAAATCCAACTTTTGTAATTTCGTTTTTCAATATTTATTTGAAAAATTACTTGTAAATTTCGAGAATATTATTTATCATCATGAATTCCTCTAATTATCATGATAAATCAGAACTAAATATCTTTAATTATTTAGGAGTGAGATGACACGCGGGAAAACACTTTTTGGGCTTGATTTTTCCCGGATGCCCTTAAACAGGACTTTCCAACCATATACTACAATATTGTCCAAATTCATTTTTAAAAAAAAGTTGTAAACAAAAGTCAAAAGGTGGGCCGACTTTGACTATATTCCCCTATACCAAGTAATAATAAAAAAAATTATTTTTATTTTTCTAGATATTTGCATTAAAAAGTTTTTGCAAAATTTTTTTATTTTGAAAATAACTTTTTTTTGCTTTGCGATACAAAAAAAATGTTTTCAACATTTTTTGTGCCCAAAATACTTAACTTTCAGAAAAAAATTACTATAAATAAAAATTATGAATTTTAGGTTAATTTGTTTAAACAATATTTGTTTTTAATATTTAAACCCTTTCTGCATGATTCTTTTTGAAAATAAGAGTACGAATATCAGTGCCGCCATCTGTCGTGACATATGCGCAACGATATACTATATTACATTCAATTATTGCTTAAATTAATTCCCTAAATCTGATCATTCGCTCAAATCTCTCTCAACACTTTCCGACAGGGTATAAGCAAAAAAATATTAAAATAGTAGGTATTAATAATTATACTTAATTTATAATTAATTATTAAATTATGAAAATATAATTTAAATAAGATAGTATATTGTTAAGAATAAATGTAGATAATAAAGATATTGATCGGTCTATTACCAACAAATGAATCGATTACAGAGTATGCTGTAATAAAATTCGATAAAGAAGAGAATTACATGACCAAACCAAATTTTAAAAGATTTTAATAAATACGTATTTCTCTTTGATCAAAGAATTGCCAGAGACGGAAAGATTGGTTCTATAGATGTACTTGAAACTGCAAAACTTACTCGTCGAGCTGAAAGAATTTAAAAAATGAAATATTACATGACATGTACCTTCCACTTCTTCTGTTGACAATGCCAAAGGTTTTTCAGATGATTTGTGTGACAACATCGAAGTACAACCGTATTGGTAAAAATCCACTCATTTTTAATTTGCGCTCGACCCTCCTTAAGGGGATGTCAAAGTCGATTGGATTTCTGCATTGAGCTTCAATGGGAAAATCGCATCGACTTTGACATCCCCTTAAATCCTTTTGCACTTTGTTAGACATACCTGTCTTCAGTCCCTAAACTAGGAATAACTGCATCAATAACCCCTTTTCACCCCCAGCTAGCTTTAAATACCAAAAATATGTCGTTTTTCAAATTTTTTATTCAAAGGCCAATCATTTTTTATTTTGTATGGTTTTAAGTAAAACCCCTAATTTAAAGACTGACTACACATGTATATTTTAAGATTTTTTTTGTTTCCGGTAAATTAAAATGGCGGAATCGTTTCTACCGCAAAACGTCTTCTTTTTAGAATCAACTTTACCACACTATGACAAACATTTACTATAATAATTTAGATGTAAAAATAATTTTTCTTTTTTGTTAAAATATTTCAATTTTAATGTGTAAACAGATTTACATTGATACTTATAAAAATAAAAAAATATATAAAATAAAAACGAAAGTGTTCATTTTCTGACTTCTTTTTTTTATGAGAAAGCCCCCTTAAGTCTGACTCAGTATTCGCCTTCTTTGTAATGATAATTAATTTTAATATAACTGCAAACTTAAAATTTAAACTTCCTAATTTTCAAAAATATTTTAATTTTAATAATTATCAAACTGTGGTTAATATAATTAGTAATTTATAGAACTTAAAGAAAGATAATAATGTACAAAAGACATTTTTTTCGAGCATTTAAAATTCTTAAAAATAAGAAAGTAAAATTAATTAGTAAAAATGGAATTTTGTAATAAAATTAATAAAATATGAATTTACATATATAATTAAGCATCTTTTTCTTCTCAATATATAAATATTCCTTTATCCAAATATTCTTAATTGAGAACCGAATACAAGAATGACAAAATTTATTCTTACATCAAGACTCAAATATTGTTTAAAATAATGAAATATTTTCTCAATTTCGCGATACGGAGATTCAAAAAACAGAAATTGCTATGGTAAAAAGAAAAAAACACTTTTAAACGATCATTCATTCTGAGAAAATTTTCTCAATATGAGAAAAAACCACCATTTTTTCCACAGAATATTATATAAATGTATGTCTCGGCTGCATCCATCAATCCAACCTTCCATACAGTACAATCTTATAAAGTTTTCAATGGTTAAATTGTGTCACCATTGGTACATCAATTAAATTATCGTATATAATAATTACATTAAACTATATAAAGAGAGTATTTTTCTTAAATTACACACTTAAAAATTTATGGATTACATTTTATTTAATAAAAACAATTAAATTAACAAGACAGCTGTCAGTCAAAATACTTCCGATCACGTCAAAAGCTGCCTTATGAATAAATTCTAGAATGTAAAAATCCCTTATTATAAAGTCAAATTGGCGAAATTAGAAAGATTTCCGTTAAATTTTCACATTCGAAATTAATTAAAATCAAACTTGGATAATTAAAATTTTTGTTATATATTCGAATAGATTAAAATTCAATATTATTAAATTCTAATTAACTTTTTAAACTTGATGTCTATATTATCGGTTAAAGAATAAAATAATTAGTTTATTGAATGAACACTCATTGGATTTTTAGCACTTTGTGCTGTGCCTGTGGAAATGATATTAAATTTTTAGTAATAATTAAAAATAAAAAAATATTCTCGTTTTGATTACAGAATATTGTTATCTCCAACGGACAACTGTCTCCTTTTTAGAGCCTCTTATCTTATCTCTTGTCTTTCATTTACACAAATCTTTTCCTATTTTCATTCAAGGACGTTGTTGAATCTATGACGATATTAACGCACCAGTTAGATTCATAATTTTAATTGTTTCCGCAAACACTAAGAGAAGTATAAAAAATATATTCATTCTCATACAAGCCAAACACATTTCACTTGACTGTAATAAAAACCAAATTCAATAATATTTTTTAAATTTTTCCTAATCGCTGGAGAAGTGGATGGGCCTTCTGTCGTCCTTATGAAAAAAAGTTGGTATTCGACATTTTTGTGTAAAAAGAGTGTTTTATATCACTCGATTCGTTACAAAAAAAGGAATCGTAACTATTGTTATATCATTTATCAATAATAAAATTTAAAAAATAATTATTCTTTTGTTGGGTTTCTAAAAAAAGCCTAATTCATAATTCCAAACTTTTTTCAGGTTTTACGGGTCATTTCTCAGAAAATTCTAAAAAGTTGTTTTCTAAAATCTTTTAGCGACATTAAATAGAGAATACAAAAATTATAGATTGTAATTATCTTAATAAGTCTTAAATATCTGCTCGTAAGAACACACATCTCTAAATCACCGCATGAATGCAAGTACCGACTTTCTTCATCAGAACGGCAGAATTAGACGACATGGACGAATGGTATAGAAATATACTCAGCAAATGAAAAAGGAAAATGCAATTTGATTGGAAAAAAATAAATAAAACTTGAAAACTTTTTTGTGATGAATCTCGACTTACATTTTATGCGAGTAAAAAATAAAAAAAAAATATTTCCCATCCATACTGATTATTTTCCAGCGCTAATACATTGATTTAATTTCAATTGTTACTTTATCTTAGCTAAGAACAATCTTGTCTTTGTGAATGCAACCAAATTATCTGTACAACCGTGAAAGTGACAACGTCTTCGTTAACTATTATTTTACAAATTTTTGTTTCTTAATAATGTTTCACAGAGGTCTTCGGCTGTTCCCATAATGTACGTCATGTTTTTTTCAGCTTTCCTGCAATCCACTCCAATCCTTGGTACAATCTGTAATTGTTTTCAATATATAAATAGTTATTTATAACACAATATTTCCAATTGTTTTTTATTTTAAAAAAGATAATGTTAATACATTATCTTTACATTAAAACTCTTGTGGTCTAATAACCACAAAAGTTTAGTTTTTATTTCTGATTGTTTCAGTCACGATGCTGTCGCTGTGTATGTATTCATCAAAGCATTTAATGACTATTTATCGTCATCCCTTCGCAATTCAAAAACTACAAGCATTTCGACAATATTTCTTGACATAAAGAAGATTTCAAACGAACTGCTGTGTGGGACTTTCACGCAACAACACACGGTAAAGGAACGTGTGCTGGAGCAGGAGCAGTTCTTAAAAACATGGCAAATAAAGCAAGTTTGCAGATGACTTGGCGACACTTTGATAACAACTCCTCGTGAACTATACGAATGGGCGAAAAAAGATAATAATCTAAAAAACTAAAGTAATGTTCAACCCAACAATTCCATTGTATAGAACCATGCAAAGCATTCGAATTATGGGTTGAATATTATTCATCCGCGTCTGAATTTAAAGATGTTTATTAAAATTACAAAAACCCGAAAGAAAACGTCAAAGTTGTAAAAAATTAAAACCAGCCAAAAGGTCAAAACGTTAAGTACGACAAAGAAGAAGCAAAAGCACTAAGTGTCCTCCCTCTGTCCCTTAATCTCGCCATCGTCGCAATCACCTATTTTACACTCTTGATACAAAAATAACTATTTTGCAAATTACAACACTCATCAAATATCTCACAATTTTCTAATTGTAAAATTTTCAACCACCATTTTTCGTCACATACATTTAATGTGAAAAAAATACATTCTTCCATTATTATAATCAAAAAATTAAATGAAGTTTAATTACCCTTCGCCAGTTAAGGCACAACAACTTTGTATATGCCAAGGATGCCTTTTGATCGATGTTAAACCAAGTTCCTTGGAAATTTCGGCAGCTGTCATGCTGCCTTTTAAATCCTGTTTATTCGCATAGACTAGAACTTTTGCTTTACTGAGTTCCTCGTGATTCAACATTGAATGTAATTCTTCTTTTATTACATTCAACCTTTCTCTATCTGTACTGTCAATTACCATGATAATAAACTCGGTGTTTGTATAATATGTCGACCAGGCAGCTCGTAGACTCTGTTGTCCACCCAAGTCCCACATTATAAAGTGAATATTTTTCCACACAACCTCTTCAACATTCGATCCAATTGTTGGAGACGTGTGTACAACTTCGTTCATTAAGAACTGATATAGAATTGTTGTTTTTCCCGCATTGTCTAAACCCACCATCACAATCTTATGCTCTGTATATGAAAAATTCATATTCTTTATCTCACATTTAAACGAAAAAAAACATCTTTGGTGAATAAGTTTATAAGGCTTTAAAGGTCATGTTTAAATTAATTTTTTATTTTTAAATTTTGAAAATAGAAACCAAGTATCGACGTTTTGGATGGGTTCTGACCCATCTTCAGGACACTAAGGGTAAAGTTCCATATTATTTAAATTTGTCTTTTTTCAAAATTTTGAAATAAAAAAAATTAATTTAATTTAAACTTGACAATATTTACGAACGGCCACTAAACTCATGAAGATCAACATCTTTTATTAATAATTCAACTCCAAAATAAAAAAAAGGTTCAAATACTACACATTTAAACTCTATAAGCTAAACTGTATTCTTCAAAATTATTTTCATCCTTTCAATTCAATTATTATTTTTTAGAATTTTTAACTAAAATTCTTCTTTGAATCAATTATTTACAATAATTTAAAAAAAAAAGTCTTCAAATGTATTTGTTTACAATTTAATTTTACGAAATTTCATCGACTATTTAGAAATTCTTCAATTAATATATAGATTTGAAAATAAAAACTTCTAATAATTTCAATTAAACTAATTGAAAAAAATTAATTCAACAGAATTGTTAGTTAAAAATATAAAAAATTCAGATTTTCAAAGATTTCAATTTGAAACTTTTTCAAAATTCAATTATTTCTAAAAATTCACGCTACAAAGCTTTTAATATTCAATTATTATGTAAAATTTTTACTAAAATTCACTTTTAAATCAATTTCTATTAGAAAATTCTACGAAAATTCAATTATTTAAATATAAAAATAAATATTTTATATTGAATTCTCATAAAGAATTTTATCAACAAATTTTTAAATAATTAAATTCTTTCGACAAATTTTAATAAAATTAAATAAATTAAATTAATTAAATTTTTAATAATTAATTAAATAAAACAATTTAGCTAATTTCAGAATAATTTAAATTTTGAAAATTTTTGCAAAAATTTAAGTTCTTTAGAATTTTTAATAAAATTCATTCAAAATTTAAATTTTATAAAATTTGAAATTAAAATGTTTTGAAGTTCATCTATTTATGAAAATTGTAAACGCAATTATTTTAAAATTCAATTAATTTTGAAATGTATAAATAAAATTATGCATTAAATAATTTCTAAGTTAAATAAATTTCTAAATACTTCTTTAAGAATTAAGTTATTTAAAAAGAAATTATTGTCAAAAATGGAAAAAATTGAAGGTTATGTATTAGAATTTTTGTTTTTTCTAGAAAAAACTATTAATAATAATATTTTAATTATTTTAATGTTAATTAATTATTTTTCTATAAAGGTCTGCATTCTGTTGAATGAAGCACCTTATAATTTATAAAATTCTTCACGATATCTATATTATTTAAATCATTAACATAAAAAAACATATTTATATTATGTTGTGGTGTTAATATTCTAAATGAAAAATAAAACTCACTGAATTCTATAACATTGAGTCTAAATTTTATGATTTCACTTTGAAAAAGATTTCAAAAAAAGAAAAACTTTATTTTTGATTAGAAAAAGGTGAAAAAGGGGACAAATCAGCATAAAAGGGGAAAAAGGTGACAAATCGTCATAAAAGGTGAAAAAGGTGATAAAATTGAAATAAGGGGACAAAAAGGGGAGTTTAAACAATGTAGAACTTAACATTGTTCATAGTATAATGATAATATTCCCTTCCGAAATTTTTTATATTAGAAGTAAGAAGAAATTTCGATCCATGGAAGGTAAAAGTATAGACATATTGGTTTTATATCATATTTTTTATTAATGTCAAATAATTAAAATGATAGCAACGTTTCGATGACTTGGTTTGTCATCATCATCAAGCTAAGCCTAAATAAATAAACAATACAGCTTACCGTGTATACTTTTGTTTTGCAAAGTTTAAATAAATGTAGTATTTGAACCGCGCCAAATATAATATTATAATTGGAAATTAAGTAAAATAAAAGGTTTGAAATAGAGTTTTACTATATTAATTGTAATGAAAAAAGAAAAAAAACAAAAATGTAGGAATACTTTCACCTACAACGTTGCGATACTTTTCTTATAAAAAAATAACTTTCTACTTGTGTAGGTTTTGAATTCTAAATTGCATCAAACAAAAGATGTTGAATCTTAAAAATGATCTTTTGTACTATAATATAAATAAACTTCTGAAATTCTCTAATAATAAAAATTAAAAGCCATATGTCAAAAATAATATTTCAAAAATAAATATACAAATTTTAGAGAGGAAAAAAAATTTGAAAATATTAGATAAGTAATCTTATAATACATACCTTCATTTCCGAAGAGATTCCAAAGCTTAGAAAATAAAAGTCCCATACTTGACGTCAATGCTGAAAATGTAAATGATTACAAATTGTTTACTTTACAAACTATCACAGCGCAATTCTGCTTGCGACAGCAAATTGTACTTGACTTTCGACACTTTCAGTTTGGAACATCTCGTAATCAAAGGGTTATGTTCAACGATCCATTTCCTTGATCAGTTGGAAGATTAGTTTCATCTATATTTTACAACTTTCTTCAAATCACTTAACAGGTGCTGTAAATGAACTTACTGATTATAAAGAAAAACATAGGACAATAATAAACAAGAAAAAATATGTAATTTTGCTCTAATTTAATGAAGTGAATAAAGACATGTTGCACTTTTATTAAATACTCCAGCAACCAATCATGTCACGAGAATATTGCATGCAACACTTTCTTTTATTCTACTCTTTCCATTGGTCAATTTTTGAGTCCCTTTTAAAAGTATAAGGTTAAGTCCACAATAGACAACTACTAGGCGGCGATTAAGGTACGGTGACAATGACGGTGACGGTCTCTCTCTCTCTTACTTCAGTACGGGTTGCGGCCGAGCTGTGATCTTGGCATTAAGGTAAAGGTCCCAGTTATGAAACGCTTTCATAATTTTGTCCCTATTATGGAACAGTATTACAAAAATTAAAATAAATGCAATTAAAATTGCTGTGCAGAAAATTCTAGTTATTTCAATAAATTTTACACGATATAAGAATTATTATTTCTGTATAGTATTTAATTTAAAAAGAAATGTTTAATTACATTTTAGCTTTTAAAAAAGAAAAGTATACAGCAAACACAACCTCAAATATTTTCAGTATTTTCGCATTACTTTTCTACCAAAAAAATTGATTATATAATTATCTATTAAACTAGAATTTATTCTTTGTATTTAATTCTTTATAGTCAATATTCAAATTACTGGGATAAGTCAATACAATTTTAATTATTAATTGAATAAATTAGATGTTTCATAATCGGGACATTAATTTTGAAACACCCGTACATACAGGAAACCATCGTTTCATAATCGGTACTAGTGCAGGGTTTCACAATTTAATTAATATTATTTTTATTTCATGATAAATAAAGATTTTAGGGCCTAAATACTATTCACAAAACACCAACCTTTCAATCTTTACCAAAATTATTTATATTAACACTCCTAGTTCCAACAAATTTATCATAGAAATTTAGTTAGCTTAAAAAGCGTTCCATAATTGGGACCTTTACCTTATATGCTTGCGTCCGAACCTACCTTTTAAGTAAATAATGATTATAAAGTTTAAAATTTCGTTAAATAACAATTATAAAGATGATAATTTTGATGCAGTAATGCGCTCCGAAATTATGCCAATGTACATTGTATTCATTGCATTATAATAGGTTAGGAAGTGAAAAACAAAAAAAAATATCTCTTTAATTCTTTGATATCATCAATTCGTTTAAAACACATGTGATAACATGACTAGATAATAAAATAACGGATAAAATGAAAGTATTAATGACATAGCATAGTTTCCGATTGGCTGATTTGTGGTCTGCTGACCGAAAACATTTAATGACGGAACTTCATTGCAATGACGAAATTTATTTGAACGTGGACATCAATTTGAAGTTGGACACTTGTTGCTCCGATATTGTGGAAGTCACTTGAAATAATATTTACTTCGTTTTCATCAACAATCTAATATAATGACAGAACCGTGAGTAATAAATAAGCAAATAGAATTATTTAATTAGAATTTTACATTTTTATTTGTAGGTTATAAACTCTAGAAATAGAAATTTTTCTTAAGAAACAAAATTCTTGTCAAGTTGTCTAGTCATCCTTAATCATGAATTTACATTTTTGTTATTTTAAGGAAAATCTATACTTTAATTATAACTTTAAATTCTTTTGGGTAAATTTATAGTATAACCTATAAAATTTAAAGGACTTTTAATTTCTTTGAAATAACATTTATTTCTATTTAATTTAAAAGCAAACTTATGATCTATTTATTTATTAAGATTAACATTCATTTTTTTTATTATATAATACAAAATATTAAAATTTAATTTATTCAATAATTAATAATATTTCCTGATTTAAAAAAATAAGTCAAGTTCGCATAGATATTAAAAAAAACCTTTTGGAATTAATATTTTGAATTTGATATTTAATTTGCATTAGAATGTTACGAAGAAAATTTTTAATTACTTAATTTTATTTATTATTCGCTAACAAGTTTATATTTTCTAAATCCATGACGTCAAATGATTTTATCTCTCAATTCGTAACACTGAAAAACAATCATATTTTACTTTATTATTATTATGTCTATTCAAGGATTTCACAGAATATTTTAATAGCAATTGTGTAATTAGCATCTTTGGTTTAAAAAAAAAGATAAATCTTATAATCTTTTAAATTATCTCTCACAGGGTGTCTAAAACACCTGGAAAATTGGGAAATTTCAGGGAATTTTTTTCATCATGACTTGAAATACTCTTGAAAAATATTTTAAATGCCCACAATTAGTTTTACAAATTTTTAGTTAAAAATTAATAGTAATAATTAATATTGCCTTTCCAATTAAAAATAAGTCAATTTATTTTTAAAATACATAATTCAAATTATTTTCATATGTAAATAATAAAACTCATCAAAGAATTTTAATTATTTTTAATACAATAATTTTAATCGAATTCGAATTGTATATTGTAAAATGAAGTGATTTTTTAAAAGTGATTAATTTTTTTTACAGAGTTGCAGATATCGCCTTGATTGGCTTGGCTGTCATGGGCCAGAATTTAATTCTAAACATGAACGATCATGGATTTACCGTTTGTGCCTACAATCGAACAACTGAAAAAGTTACATCTTTCCTTCAAAATGAAGCCAAAGGCACAAAAATCGTTGGCGCTTACAGTTTAGAGGAAATGGTGAGCAAATTGAAAAAACCCAGAAGAATAATGTTACTTGTTAAAGGTAAATTTTGTATAAAAAATTAATTACATAGCAAGTATTTCAACGTGACGAATTTTATTAAAGTCGTTATTTATTTTTAGCTGGTTCAGCTGTTGATGATTTCATTTCGAAATTGGTTCCACTTTTATCTGAAGGCGATATTATAATCGATGGAGGAAATTCTGAGTATCAGGATACACAGAGACGAACTCAAGATTTGGATAAAAAGGGTATTTTATTCGTTGGAAGTGGGGTTAGTGGCGGAGAGGATGGAGCACGTTATGGACCATCTTTGATGCCCGGAGGAAATTCAAAAGCTTGGGCCCACATTAAACCGATTTTCCAGGTAAGTAAACGAAAACCTGGAAAATTCAGGGAATTTTGATCGGAATCCTGCAAAATTTGTTGTAAAAATTCACGCTACTAGAATTAATTTATTTAAATACAAAAAGTATTTATATTTATATTTATTCTCATAAAAAATTATATCAACAAATTTTTAAATAATTGAATTCTTTTGACGAACATTAATACCATTTTTAAAAATAATTACATTCTTTCGAGAAATTAGATTAAAATTGTATTAAAAATAATTGAATATCTGCGTAAGAAATTTGATTGAATTGAGAAAAGTTTTTGAAAATAATTGAAATTTTGCAAAGAATTTTATAATTTGTAAAAAATAATTGAAATTTTGACGAAAATTTGTTTTAAACTCTTGACCATAATTGAATTTCTGCGAAGAATTTTATTACTTTTGAAAATAATTGAATTCCTGGTAAAAAAAATGTTATTCTTCATGAAAATAATTGAATTATTGCGAAGAAATTTATAAAAAAATTTGTAAATAATAGAATTCCTGTGAAATTTGTATTATTTAATGCATTCACTCAAAATTGAAATTTTACAAAATTCTAAAAAAGATTTTAATCTAAAATTTTTTCAAAATTCAATTATTTCGAAAAATTTTTGCTCTAATGCTTTTAAAATTCAATTATAATCTAAAATTTGAACTTAAATCAATTTTTAAATCAATGTTTATGAGAAAATTCTACTAGAATTCAATTATTTAAATACAAAAATAACAATTTATTGAATAATTGCATGTTTCTAAAAAATGAATTCTCATAAAGAATTTTATCTATACATTTTTAAATAACTGAATTTTTTGACGAATTTTAATATAATTTCTAAGAATTTTTTCGAGGAATTCGATTAAAATTGTATTTAAAAATAATTGAAATTCTGCAATGAGTTTTATTATTTATGAAAATAATTGAATTCCTAAAAAGAATTTTATTATTTACGAAAATCATTGATTCCCCGGAAAAATTTTATTATTTATGAAAATAATTGAATGATTGCGAAGAAATTTATAAAAAAAAATTTGTAAATAATAAAATTCCTGTGAATTTTATTTTTGAAAATAATTAAAAATTTGTGTAGAATTTTATTAAAATTTTTTTATACTTTATACTTTTAATTAAGAATTCTATAGAATTAATTTTTTTTAATAAGTTTAATGGAATTTTTTCTAATTATTTGAAGTTTTTCAATTTCTAATATCAATTGAAAAATGTCAGAATTTCAAATATTTTTAATACAATTTTAAATAAATTCCTTGAAAAATGCAATTATTATTAAAAATTTTATTAAAACTTGAGGAAAGAATTCAATTTTAAGAAACATTCAATTATTGAACAAAATAACAAAATTTGTTGCAATAATATAAATTTTTTCATAAATAACATTTAATTTGTCGCAGAAAATCAATTATTTTCAAAAATTTTCAAGTAATTTTGCAAAAGAATTCAATTAGCTTGATAAACAACAAAATCGCATAAAATCAATTATTCTAAGGTATTTTAATAAAATTCTTTTCCGAAATTCAATTATTTTGATAAATATCAATATTCATCACAAGAATTCAATTCTTTTGAAAAGTAATAAAATACTTTGCAGAAATTAAATTATTTTAAAAATTTTTTAAAAATTCTCGTCAAGAATTAAATTATCTTTATAAATAGATAGGGAAATTCTTCTTAAGAATTAAATTATTGTCAATTTTTTTTTAAATTCTTCTCAAGAAGTCAATTATTTTCAAAAATTTTAATAAAATTCTTCTCATGAATTCAATTGTTTTCAAAAATTATTATTTAAATTCTTCTCAGGAATTCAATTATTTTTAAAAAAATTTAATAAAATTCTTCAAAAAGTTTTCAATTATTTTTAAAAATTGGTGTACTTTTAACTAACAATTCTGTAGAATTAATTTTTTTGAAAAAGTTTAATTGAATAATAATAATTGATGTTATTGATTTAAAGTAGAATTTTAGTTAAAAATTTTAGAAAATGTTAATTGAATTGAAATGATATAAATAATTTTGAAAAAATTACAGTAACAATATTCTTATAATAATAAACTAATAATTTTGTCAGTCGTTCATCTTTATGTTTTATAAAGTTGTTCAATTTGAAAAGGTTTGAATTTGAAATTTTTGAACATCTTCATTCCAATGAAAAAAAATGATTAAATATTTATTTGAAATAAAACTACTGATGTTTTCGAATAATTTGACTTTTGAAGAAATTTGTAAATAAATTTAATAAAACATTTTTTTGAGTATCTAATATTTTTTAGAGTGAATCAGAAGATTCTTTAGGGTCAGGGAAAAAGTGAAAGTTGTGTTTGGAAATCAGGGAAAAGTCAGGGAAAAATAAAATATAATTTTTTGTGGCAACCCTGTATAAATAAATTATATTTTTATCTTTATTTAACCAATTTTTATGGTCCCCCTATTTTCCCTAAAATACTTTTTAGGGGCTCTGTGAAGCCTTTTAAAAGGAAATTTTTAATAAAGATAAATCTAATACAAACGTAAACCTATAATTATAAAACTAATAATTTTGTTTTAATTTTTCAAGGCAATTTGCGCGAAAGTTGATGGTGAACCTTGTTGCGATTGGGTCGGAGAAACTGGTGCTGGACATTTTGTCAAAATGGTACACAATGGAATTGAGTATGGCGACATGCAGATAATTTGTGAGGCTTATCATATTATGAGAAATGGACTTCGTCTCACACCGCAAGAAATGAGTAAAACTTTCGAGGACTGGAATAAAGGCGATCTTAATTCATTTTTAATAGAAATTACAAGAGATATACTTAAATATAAGGACGATAAGGGCCATCTTTTGGAGAGAATTCGCGATACAGCTGGACAAAAAGGTACGGGAAAATGGACAGCAATTGCGGCATTGGATTATGGAATTCCAGTGACACTCATTGGTGAATCAGTATTTGCCAGATGTCTTTCGGCATTAAAAAATGAGAGAATTGAGGCTAGTTCCGTTTTGGCTGGACCGAGCAATGTTTACGAGGGAGATAAAAAAGTGTTCCTTGAACATCTGGGGAATGCTCTTTATGCGGCGAAAATTATTTCTTATGCTCAAGGTTTTATGCTTTTAAGAGAAGCCGCAAAAATTCATGGATGGAATCTTAATTACGGTGGAATTGCTCTTATGTGGCGAGGCGGTTGTATAATCAGAAGGTTATTTAAAACTTTTATTTTTCTATTTTAACTTTTTCTCCTCTTTCACAGTCAAAATAAAGTCTTAGTCAAAATAAAGTATTATTTTAAGGCAGTTACTGATTTTCTTCTTAATTAAAATAATTTTTTTCTTTTCACAGCGCCTTTCTAGGGAATATTAAACAAGCCTTCGATAAGAATCCAAAATTAACAAACTTATTGCTTGACGATTTCTTCGCAAAAACAATGAAACGTTGTCAAGGTAGTGTCAGGGTTATTGTCTCTAATGCCGTGGCTCTTGGTATTCCCACTCCAGCTTTATCAACAGCATTGGCCTTTTATGATGGTTTTAGAACAGTTCAACTTCCGGCAAATTTATTGCAAGCACAAAGAGATTATTTTGGAGCTCATACTTATGAACTTCTTGGTCAAGAAGGTAAATTTGTTCATACTAATTGGACAGGTCATGGAGGTAATGTTTCTGCGTCCACATATGATGCATAAAATTCGCAATAGACCTTTTTTTTCTTTTTGTTACCACATTTCCGAGGGAAATAAATTTTAATTATAGATTTTCGAGAAATAGATTGATTGTATGTTTGAAAGGATATTTTCATATTTGATTACCATTCAATTGTTAGTAAATTTTATTAAAGGTAGATATTAAGCAACGAAAATGTATGTAAAAGATTTTGATCGTTTTCGGGTAAATTATTTTTTACTAATTAATAAACGAATATCAAAATTATTTTTGTGTAAATTCAGGGCTCGAACTAGATTCGTAAATTCCGTAAAAATCCGTGAAAAGTCAGTTTTTTTTCAAAAAAAAAAAAAAAAGGTCCGTAAAATCCGTAATTTGATAGAAAAAGAAAGAGAGTTCATAAATTGTACGATATAATTATGGAAATTTTGAAAAAGTTAGAAATGATCGTAGAAATTCAATTATTTTCCAAAGTATAATAAAATTGATCACAGAAATTCAATTATGTTCAAGAATTTTAAAAAGTTATTGTCAAAATTTCAATTATCTTTAGAAATAATAAAATTCTTCTCCAAAATTTCATTATTTTCAAAAATTTTAATAAAATTCTTGGCAAAATTTCAATTATTTTCAAAAATTTTTCTCAATTTAATGATTTTTAATATCTACTATTTAAATAAAATTTTCCAAAAAAATTCAATTATTTAAAAAAATATTAACAAAATTCTACGCAAACATTTAATTACTTTCATAAAATAATAAAAATTTCACAGGAATTAAATCATTTACAAATTTTTTATAAATTCATTCTAAATAGTTAAATTATTTTCATAAATAATAATACTCAATGCTGAATTTCAATTATTTTTAATACAATTTTTAATGGAATTCTTTGAAAAGTAATTATGCTTAAAACTTTTATTAAAATTCGTCAGAAGAATTCAATTATTTAAAAATTCGTTGATAAAATTCTTTATGAGAATTCAATTATTCAAAAATTATTTATTTTTCTATTTAATTGGTGGTAAAATAAATAATTGAATTTTCGTAGAATTTTCTAATGGATATAAATTAAAAAGTGAATTTCAATTAAAATTTTAGATAATAATTGAACATTAGAAGCATTACAGCTTAAATTTTTAGAAATAATTGAATTTTGAAAAGGTTTCATATTAAAATCTTTGAAAACTTTAATTTTTCATACTTTTAACTAACAATTCTGTAAAAGAATTAATTTTTATGAAAAAGTTTATTTTAATTTTAATTGGAATTATTTTTTTTGAAGTTTTAAATTTTCTAATATTTATATTTAATTGAAGAATTTTCGAATAATTAAAATTTTGGAAAATTGAATTGTACAAATTATTGCAGAAATTCAATTATTTTCAAGTGTAATAAAATTCTTCGCAGAAATTTAATTATGTTTTGAAAAAATTTTTTATAATTCTTATCAAAATTTCAATTATTATTAGAAATAATTAAATTCTCCGAAATTCAATTATTTTCCATAGAATTCAATTATTTGAAAAAAAATTTAATAAAATTCTACACAAATTTTCAATTATTTTCAAAAATAAAATTCACAGGAATTTCATTATTTAAAACATTTTTTTATAAATTTCTTCGCAATCATTCAATTATTTTTATAAATAATAAAATTTTTACAGGGAATTCAATTATTTTCGTCAATAATAAAATTCTTTTTAGGAATTCAATTATTTTCATAAATAATAAAACTCATTGCAGAATTTCAATTATTTTTAAATACAATTTTAATCGAATTCCTCGAAAAAATTCTTAGAAATTATAATAAAATTCGTCAAACAGTTCAATTATTTAAAAATTTATAGATAAAATTCTTTATGAGAATTCATTTTCTAGAAACATGCAATTATTCAATAAATTGTTATTTTTGTATTTAAATAATTGAATTCTAGTAGAATTTTCTCATAAACAATTGATTTAAAAATGGATTTCAGTTCAAATTTTAGATTATAATTGATTTTAAAAGCATTAGAGTAAATTTTTAGAAATAATTGAATTTTGAAAAAATTTCAAATTAAAATCTTTTTTAGAATTTTGTAAAATTTCAATTTTGAATGAATGCATTAAATAATAAAAATTTCACAGGAATTCTATTATTTACAAATTTTTTTATAAATTTCTTCGCAATAATTCAATTATTTTCACGAAGAATAAAATTTTTTTAACCAGGAATTCAATTATTTTCAAAAGTAATAAAATTCTTCGCAGAAATTCAATTATGGTAAAAAATTTAAAACAAATTTTTGTCAAAATTTCAATTATCTTTTATAAATAATAAAATTCTTTGCAAAATTTCAATTATTTTCAAAAACTTTTCTCAATTCAATCAAATTTTTTACGCAGAGGTTCAATTATTTTTAATACAATTTTAATCGAATTCCTCGAAAGAATGTAATTATTCTTAAAAATTTTATTAAAGTTCGTCAAAAGAATTCAATTATTTAAAAATTTGTTGATATAATTTTTTATGAGAAATTTTAAGAAACATTCAATTATTCAATAAATTATTTATTTTTGTATTTAAATAATTGAATTCTAGTAGCGTGAATTTTTATAAATAATTGAATTTTGAAATTAATTTTTTTGTAAAAGTTTAATTAAGAATTTTTTTTATATTGTTTGAAGTTTTTATTTTCTAATGTATATTTAATAGAAGAATTAACAAATAATTGAAATTTCGTAAAATTGAATATTGTAAACAAATATTTGAAAATTGTCAAAGAGGACTTTTTCGAAAATTTATTGATTTGAAGAAGAATTTTAGTTAAAAATTCTTGAAAATAATAATTGAATTGAAATGATGAAAATAATTTTGAAGAAGTTACATTAACGATATTCTTATAGTAATAGAAAATTTAATTTATAGTTTTAAGTAAAATGTTCTCTTATTTGACTCGGACTGTTTATATTTTTGTCAGTAAATGGTCCGTAATTTTCTATGTTTGGTCCGTATTTTTAAATACTTTCACTGGTTCGAGCCCTGTAAATTTTTAATTATTAAACCATATTATTTCCTGATCACAATCAGTGCCTCTGAGCATTGCAATGAAAGTAAAAGTAAAAGAGAAAGTTTTTAATGTTTACTCCAAAGGTCAACAACTGGGGCTGACTGATAAAAAAAAGTTTTTTTTTTGCTTTTTAAACATGTTCTTCTTAATTTTTTCACTTCTTTTTTAATTCTAAAAAATGTTGATTTAAGAAGTCGCTAGCGAATGAATATAATATACTTTTATAAATCTAAACGGTACTTATTCGTGTTACGTGGAAACCTGTTTTTTCTGGTATGTATTATTAAATGTTCTTCAGGAACGGACACACCTAATTTTGTTTTATTTTTTTAAGCAGAAAAAATGTTTATATTTTCAATAAAAATTACAATCATCTCAAGAAAGTAGAATAACTATTTCGAGATTATTGTCTATTAAAGTTGAAAGCAAATAATTTCGAGATCATAAATCTAACCATGTTTTAATTGCGATAACATTAAATTATTTAAACAGTAGAAAATAATTGCTTTTAAAAAAATTGTTGAGTTATAATTCACTTAAGACATATTTTGCGATGTGAAAATTGTTTTGTGCTAAAAATATTCGTGTCACATGGAAATGATACTATAAAATAAATTGTTTTATACACGAGTGGATATACCAATGAAGAATATAATTATATTATTATATATTATTAAATTTACATTTTCTCTTTCAAAGAAATAAAAGTCACATAACTAGAAAATATTGAAGCAGAACTTAATTTTTTCTTTAAAAACAAAATGTTCCTATATAAAAAAAACAATTGAATTATATAATTGTAAATTTAATAATTTATTAACGTTTTGTATTTTTAAACTTATAAATGTTAATAAAATTTCTTTACTTCTTATTTACAAGAAATATAATTAATCCTCTTTAAATATTCTTTATTACTTTTTTCTTAAAAGCCCCTGAAGAAAGACTTTTTCCGCGCACTAATGCGATGCGGTAACTACGCTCTACGCATTCTATTGATTTTTTAAAAAACAATAATTCATATTGTTTACTGATCTGCTTGATCCGTGTTTAAATCGTTTAAATATCAGTGTGATTATTTCTTTAGTGGACAAAATAAGTAAAGGTAAATTTAAATTTCCGAAGATTGGAAATTAGTCAAAAAAAATTGAAAACAAAAATAAAAAACCCTAGTAAATAAATTAAAACATTGGTTTTAAAGTTTTTTTAAATTTAGAAGTATAACGTAACCTAGAAATAGTTTCAAAAATTTGATATCAAATTCATTAGAAGAAGTGGAAGAAGTACATTTTTATATTGCAAAACAAATTAACAGAACATATTAAAAAGAGAGAAAATATTCATACAGTTCCTGTTAAATCAGATTGTAGTTTTGGCTTCAAGTTTCCACCAACTTATAGTCGCCGGCGCAGTGCTCTTTTGATTTCTCATCTTTAGTTGCAAAATGGCCGACCACAGGGAAAGAGATTCGTATTACTCGTCCGATCCACGATCAAAAAACGATGATCCACCAAATTCGCGGCTTTTCGTTATTTGCCACAAAAGTCTCGAGGAGGATGACCTTCGAAAGGCATTTGAAAAATTCGGCAAAATCGAAGATATTTGGGTGGTTAAAGACCGAAATACAGGAGAAAATAAAGGTATAGCATTCAGTAAATTACTTTACCCCTAACTCTAATCAATAATTATTTTCTCTTTCCTTTACTCATTTACAATCTCTTCTTAATAATTTATTACTTCTTTTTATTGTATAATTAATTATTGCAGTTAAATTCTGCTTTTCAATCATTCTACATTGCATTGTGTATTACAGTGTATAAATAAAAAACCGACGAAAACACTTTTGTTTTCACCGGCTGATCGCGCAAACGAATCACGTTTACACTACTTTACTCTTTTTCTCTTCTCAAAACTGGATACATATACTTACAAATTTTTATTTTTAGCAAAATGTGTTGAATTTATTATCAGATTTCTTCTTTTTGATCTCTTCAATCTTTTTTTAAACAAAAGCGATCGCAATTTTGCACAACAGATATTCTTTAATACATTTGGAAAGTTAAATTAGTTGTTATGATTTATTTACTTTTATATATTTATATATTTTTTTAAAATCTCATGTTTATTCAATATTGCTTCCTCGAGTCTTCATATGAGGTTTTTACCGAAAATTTTCAAACTCAATTTTTTCATCTGCTTTTCTTACAATTTCTAACCTCAGGAACTTAAAAACTTAAAAATGACTAAACTTTTCTGGTTATTATCCGAATTCGCAAATTTTATTTGTCAGTTTAGGAAAATAAAAAATTTCATAAAATTTCGCAAAAGAATTCATTCTTTTTTTTAAAAAATTGATAAAATTCATCCAAAATTCAATTATTTTCATAAATAATAAAATTCCCACAGAAATTCAATTAATTTAGAATAAAATTTTCAAAAAAATTTCGAAAAAATCAATTATTTAAGAAAATTTTTATACAATTCTTCACAATAATTCAATTACTTTCAATAATAATAACATTTTTCATAGAAAATCAATTATTTAAAAAAAATGATATTAAAATTCTACGCAAAAGTTTAATTATTTTCATAAATAATAAAAAATTTTACAGGAATTCTATTATTTACAAATTTTTTTTTATAAATTTCTTCGCAATAATTTCATTATTTTCCTAAATAATAATCAAACTCTTCGCAGAGTTTCAATTATTTTTAGTATTTTAATCAAATACCTGGAAAAATGTAATTATTTAAAAAATTTGTATTAAAATTCGTCGAAAGAATTTGATTATTTAAAAATTTGTTGATAAAATATTTATGAGAATTAAATATAAATTATTTATTTTTATATTTAAATAATTGAATTTTCGTAGAATTTTCTAATAGAAATTGATTTAAAAGTTAATTTTAGTTAAAATTTTACATGATAATTGAATATTAAAAGCATTATAGCGTGAATCTTTAGAAATAATCGAATTTTGAAAAAGTTTCAAATTGAAATCTTTGAAAATCTGAATTTTTCATATTTTTAACTAAACAATTCTGTAGAATTAATTTTTTTTCAAAAAGTTTAATTGAAATTTTAGTTTTTATTTTCAAATATATTTGAAGAATTTCCAAATAGTCGATGAAATTTCGTAAAATTGAATTATAAACAAATAGGTATATTTGAAAATTCTCAGAATTTTTTTTTTAATTTATTGTAAATAATTGATTTAAAGAAGAATTTTAGTTAAAAATTCTAGAAAATAATAATTGAATTGAAAGGATGAAAATAATTTTTGAAGAAATTAGAGTAAAAATATTTTTTATAGTAGAAAATAATGATCTTATCACTCGGTCATCTTTAATTATTATAAAACATGAAGAAAGTGATCCGAGTCTTCGACTCGAAGTGGTCAGTTTCTTCATGTTTTATAATAATATTCTCATAAATTGTTGAATTTCAACAATGATTTTTGTCCCCTTTTTGAGAAAGTGTAACAAATTACGAAAAAATTTTTTTTCACAGGTGTAACGTATATCAAATTTTCCAAAACATCAGAAGCAGCATGTGCTCTTGAAGAAATGAACGGTAAAATGTTAGGCTCTGTAGGACGTCCAATAAAAGTCATGATTGCTTCCAAGTAGGTTCAAAAAAAAAAATTCTCGAACATAATTTAAAGATTATTTTTCTTTAATTTAAACAATTTTTTATTCGTATTTTTAGCCGAGATCAAGGATCAGTTCGTGAGACAAACGAAGAGGAACGATGGGTACGATTATTTTGTGTCTTACCAAAATCAATGACCGACACAGAATTACAACAAGAATTCTCAAAATTTGGAGCAATTGAATATGCAACAGTGGTAAAGGATAGAAATACCAATGAATCGAAAGGTTTTGGTTATGTTAAATTCCGAAAAGTATCCAGTGCTGCTAAAGCATTTGAGGAATGTGACAGAAAATACAAAGCCGTTTTTGCTGAACCAAAGAAACCAAAACCCGATCATAACGATTCAAAATACAGTAATGGTCTCTCAGTGTCATATGACAATATGGGAGGTGGCGGCGGCGGTGGTGGCGGATATGGTTCATCGAATTTCGGTAAAAGTAGCATTAGCCTTGAGATTGCGGCTAATTATCCAAATAATGAGGGCTACACGAGATTACAAGTAATCGCGCATCCTGCATTGAATCAAGATCAGTTGTGGAAATTGTTTGATATTGTGCCAGGATTGGATTATTGCAGTTTGAAAACAGACGTCAGGTATAGAATGCCAAGAGGTCAGGCAACTGTCGCCTATTTGAATCCTAACGCTGCGGCATATGCGCGAGAAAAGTTTCATGGCTTTGAATATCCACCTGGGCATAGAATGATTGTTAAACCAGACTTGAGTAGTGCACCATCATCGAAAAATCAGTCAAAACCCGGTGGTTCAAATCTCGGACTCGGAAATGCAAGAACGGATTTAGTCCATTTGGCGGAAACAATTGCACAAGCTACTTCATTAATTCAAGCCGCTGGCTTAACAGCACCTTGTACGTTTTATTTTACATCTTTTTATTTTAGGGTTGCCACGCAACCTGGAAATGTCAGGGAATTTTATAAACTTTGAAAAAACCTGGCAAAATCAGGGAATTTTTATCGGAATCCTGGGAAATTATAAATAATGATTTTATCAGTCGGTCATTTTTAATTATTATAAAACATGAAAATATCCATCACTCCGAGTCTTCGACTCGGAGCAATCGATATTTTCATGTTTTATAACAATTTTTTTAAAATTGTTTAATTTCAAAAAGGATTGAATTTGAAATGAGCAAATGCGTGGCAACCCTGTATTTTCACTTGAGTTTTTTCTTTTGCAAATTATATATATATATATATTTCTTCAATTGAAAAAAGAAAAAAAAAATTTAATTTTAAAGTAATGAATAATTTACTTTTTGATTTTAATTAGCTTTCGATTCATCGCTTTTGAAATTGCCACCTCAGCAGCCAATGGCAAGTATTGATGCAGACGTAGCAAAACGATGTTTCATCGTTTGTGGTCCACCGGTTCCTCCAATTCACGCAATGAAAGACGCTTTCTGCAGATTTGGAAATCTTATCGATGTCTATATGTTACCTGGCAAGAATTGTGGATATGCAAAATACGCTAGCGTTGACAGTGCTAACAAAGCAATTGAGGTAAACTATTTATAATTTTTACAGGCTTCACAGTCTGTCCCCTATTTCCCTAAAAGTCCCCTTTTTTCAATTTTGGCCCCTAAACGTACCCTATTTTGAAAATTTCCCCTATTTTTTTCGTCGCAGGAAATCAATTATTTTCAATAATTTTTAAGTAATTCTGCAAAAGAATTCAATTATCTTGATTATTAAACAAAATTTAATAAAATACTTTGCACGAATTCAATTATTTTTATAAATTTTAATGAATATCTCGTCAAAAATTCAATTATTTTTATAAATAGCAACATTTTTCGCCAAAAATTCAATTATTTTCAAAAATTTAAATAAAATTCTTTGCAATATTTCAATTATTTTTAAAAGTTTTTCGCAATTCAATGTTTTTAAATATTTACTATTTTCATAAAATTTATCAACAGATTTAATTATAGAAAAAACTTGTTGATACAATTCTACGAAAAGATTCAATTATTTTCATAAATAATAAAATTTCATTTACGAATTCAATTATTTTCACCGCAGAATTTGAAATGTTTTTAATACAATTTTAAACAAATTTCTTGAAAAATGTAATTATTATTAAAAATTATATTAAAACTTGAGGAAAGAATTCAATTTTAAGAAACATTCAATTATTCAATAAAACAATAAAATTCTATGCAACTATTCAATTATTTTCATAAATAATAAAATACATCGCAGGAATTCAATTATTTTGAAATATTTTAATAAAATTGTTTTAAAGAAATCAAATATTTTAAATACAATTTTAATTAAATTTTTTTAAATAGTTCAATATTATTCTATTAGATTTTAATAAAATTTTTCCCAAGAATTCAATAATTTACATAAATAATTCTTCGAAAAAATCCAATTATTAAAAATAAATAACAAAATTATTACCGAAAATTCAATTATTTTGAGGCATTTTAATAAATTTTTTTGCAAAATTCAATTCTTTTAATAAATATCAAAATTCATCACAAGAATTCAATTCTTTTGAAAAGTAATAAAATACTTTGTAGAAATTAAATTATTTTCAAAATTTTTTAGAAATTCTCGTCAAGAATTAAATTATCAAAGAATTAAATTATTGTCAAAAATTTTTTAAAAATTCTTCTGAAGTCAATTATTTCCAAAAATTTTAATAAAATTCTTCTCATGAATTCAATTCTTTTCAAAAATTATTATTTAAATTTCGTTTTTATAAAATAATAATCGTTTTTACAAATAATTATTTAAATAATTCTTCTCAGGAATTCAATTATTTTTAAAAAATTTAATAAAATTCTTCAAAGAGTTTTCAATTATTTTCAAAAATTGTTATAAATTTGAAAAGTTGTTAATACAATTCTTCGTAAAAATTAAATTTTAAGAAACATTTAATATTGTGTATTTTTGTATTTAAATAATTGATTTCTCGTAGAATTAAATTATTGTTTTTCGTACTTTTAACTAACAATTCTATAGAATTAATTTTTTTGAAAAAGTTTAATTAAATACCTAATAATATTTTAAATAAAACTATTGATGTTTTCGAATAATTTGACTTTTGAAGAAATTTGTAAATAAATTTAATAAAATATCTTTTTGTGTATCTAATAATTTTTTGAGTGAATCAGAATATTCTTTAGGGTCAGGGAAAAAGTTAAAGTTGTATTTGGAAATCAGGGAAAAGTCAGGGAAAAATAAAGTTAAATATTTGTAGCAACCTTGTATAAATAAATATATTTTTATCTTTATTTAACCAATTTTTATGGTCCCCTAAAAGTCCCCTATTTTTTAATTTTCAGTCCCCTATTTCCCCTGAAATATTTTTTAGGGGCACTATGAAGCCTGTTTTTATACACAGAATACATTTTAGAAAAAAAGTGAACAAATCAACTAAAAAGTGAATTATTTTTAGAATCTTCATGGACAGGAGATTTGTGGCTCACGATTAAAAGTACTGGAGGCCGAGGAGAGAAACGTGGGTGAGGACCGAAGGAAGCGATTAAGAATGGATGAGGATGAAAACTAAATGTGTTTTTTTCATGTAACGTAAGTAAATTCAGTGAGAATGACGAACGGAAACTGAAAAAAAGAATTGATTAATATTTTATTATATCAAGACTATTTTTTTAAATCTTCGACATTTATTTTTTTTCTTGAAATTTAAGGAAAAATGTAATTTTTCTATTTGTCTTCACAGACTGACTGGTATACACAAGCAGGACGCACGCAAAAAAAATAATAATAATTGAGACGAATTATAAAGACACTTGACTTCGTTGGGCCTGGAACCAAGGAAAACTACTCCAACTACCTATTTTAACAGTCATATTCATACGTTTGTTACATCTCCATCACTGATACCTTTACGTTACATTACTTTTATCCTTTTTTTTTCTTTACACTATTTCTCTCACTGGACCCTGTTGGGTATTATTGAATTCTCAAAAGTTGTTGCAACTTTATTTTCACTTCACGCATTTAAATTGTGTGAAACGAATGTTTGTTGATGAGAAATTATTTACTTCTAATCTTGTTTTACATTACATCACTTTGAGAATTGATTATTATTATTATTTGAAATAATTTTTACATTTGTAAATGAATATTTACAAAATTATTTATAAACGTTTTATATTTAAAACGTTAAATTATGTTCATGATTATTATTTTTTATTAATAAGTTTTTTAGCACATACTTTTAAGAATTACAATATACCTTTTAAAGAATTAATTTCTTAATTTTTTCAAATTAACATAAAAATTTGTTCAAGAAATACCCATAGCACTTTCAGTGACTTAAGTTTCAAATTATGTTTAATGACATAAAATTCATTTCACGCATGATACGTTATTATGATTGTATTTGTATTCTTATTCTTATTAATATTCCATTTTTTAAGAAGAATTTCAAACATGATGTCAATTTTATTTTGAAAAAAATTTACCATATATTATCGTATCAATATATTCAAAAATTATTTTATTTATTCGATTAAAATTTAATGGTGCTTTTTTCCTCAATTGTCAAGATTTTTTAAATATGAGGCATTCTATTTCAAAACTACCTCCCTTGTAAACAATTAACAATTTAAGGCAATTTTTAAATAAATATTTCTCCTATTTAAATAAATTAATTGAATTAATTGAATTTCAAAAAGGTATTAATTTGAAATTTTATAAAACTTCAATTTTGAATGAATTTAATTAGAAATTTTAAAGAACTTAGATTTTTGAAAAATTGTAATATTTCAATTTTTTCTGAAATTATAGTTAAATATTTTTAATATATATATCTCATTAATTATTAAAAATAATGGATTTATAGAAGAATTTTAGTTAAAAACAATAAAAAAAATTTGCATGTTGAAGAAGTTATCGATCATATATTTCTCTCGATATCTTCATATTTTATAATAATATATATATTCTTAAAATTTATTGTATTTTAAAAAGTTAAGTTTACATTTTTAATTTTTGAAAATCTTAAAAAAAAGTTATTGTTATTTTCGGAATAATTTTACAATTAGAGAAATTTGCAAATAAATGTAATAGAACATTTTTTTGAGTATTTAATAATTTTTAGAGCGAATCATAATATTCTTTAAAGTTAGAGAAAAAGAAAAAATTTTTTATGGAAATCATGAAAAAGTCAGGGAAATACAAAATTAAATTTTTGTAACAATCCTTTTATGATTTTTCAATTAATTTCTCAAAATCCACTGGAAATGTCCAAGATAATTTTTACAGGAGTAAAAATAGAATATTTTAACTTTATTTTGACAATTTTATCAAAATTTGATATAACGTATTTTGAGATAGAAGTTTTAAATTTTCTGCAGAATTACGTTATTTAAAAAAAAACCTTTTTACTATCATAAAGTTCAAGAATTTATCTTTCAAAACTGCTAGTGTAACAAAATTTAATTAATTTATTTAAATAGAAGAAATATTTATTTAAAAATTGCCTTAAATTGACAATTGTTTACAATACAAATTTATTTCAAAACGACTCGTTTTGAAATAAAATGCCTCATATATGTTTCAAATATAAATATTGCGAAGGATTTGAATTAATTTACACATTCATACCTCTTCTTTGATTGCAACATATTTTCTAAAAAATTTATAATTATATATTCTTTGTAGAAAATATATTCTCGGAATCTGCACATTTATCGATAATTTTCTTTAATTAATTTGTAAATAGATTTATTTTCATTGTAAAGGAATTACTTCACTGTCGCAAGTATCTTTCGCGTTGAAATAAATAAAATAACTAAATACAAGTGATATACAAAAAAACGTATATATTATATAATACATATTTCCAAAATCAATATCTGTATAAATATAATTTTACTATTATTTTCGAAACACGATGAACTTTTATTTTGCACTTGAAAAGTAAAAACAAGAAAGAAAAGAGAAAATAAATGTACGATTTTTATTTCGACACAATCTTAAGTATATTATAGTTTGTGTATTGTGTTAATTTACGAAAATTCGAAATATATATTTGCGATGTCAACAATCTGTGATGGACCAAATTTTTTGCTATTATTAAATAAAAATATGCGATCTAGACGTTTACTTTTTTGTGACTGCATACAGCGAGTGGTCTCATGTGACTGTAACAGACACTGCATTCAAAATATATACACATTCTGAACTCAAAATTTAACAAGGACTTTTACTTACTTATTTGGTATAAAAGAATTTTTCCAAACAAATTTTTTATTTTTTCTTCAACATCATCTTATTCTGAAAGATTTTGTTTTAATTTTACAGAGAATAACCGTTACCTGATTACTGTGACACTAAATGTTAAAATGAGGGAATTTTTCTAAATCCAGAATAAAATTCAATTTCCAGGTAAAGTACAATTATTTTACAATTTTAGAGGAATTTTTCTTTCTATTAACTGAAAAATGTTTAAAAATTAACTTTAGAAATTATATTTACAGATTATTTGAATAACAATGGCTTCATAGCATGTCTTGAAGTTCTTCTTTGAATTTGAATTTGAATGTCCTCCAAATATTTGCCTTTTGTTTCGGGAACTATCATAATACTCACAATTGGACCCACGAGGCACATGACAGCGAAGAACCACAAAGTTCCATAAATTCCAATAGTTTTTGTCATTGGTATGAAGCCAATAATGACGATAAATCCAACGAATGCCTCCGCAATTAGGGCAAATGAAGCGGCGAGAACTTTGATTTTAATGGAAAACACTTCACCGACAAATACCGCAGGTACGTGAGCGAGTCCAATATTAAATGTTATCACGTGTATCATTAATCCCACAAATGGCAACCAATTAAATGCGATGACATCAATTTTCAGATAATTGTGGAGAAAAAAAAATGCACCAACAATAGTTAATGCCAGGCAAGTTCCTAGCGCCGAGAATAAAAGAATTATTTTCCTTCCGAGTATATCGATGAGACTCGTTGCTATCACACCGGCGAACACTTTTCCCGCACAGAGAATCACTATCAAATATTTTGATTCGATGGAAAATCCTGATTGATCAAGTATCTCTTGACCATAAACGACAATTGCTGTTATTCCCGAAAGTTGTTTAGTCACTTTGAGAAATAATAAAGCGAGAAAGCTTCGTCGACTTCCTGCTGTGCTGTACAGTTCCTTAAAGCTACTTTTACAATTTTCCCGACTCTCAATAACTGCTCTCTTAATTCTTTCCAAATCAAGTATTATCTCCTCTTTATTCTCCGTATTTTTTAATTTCATAAGTGTCTTCATTGCCTCCTCATCACGTCCACGGATCAATAAATAATATGGAGTCTCTGGCATGAATACAAATGTAATGAGGAAAATTGCTGGAATGAGAAGCCCCAGTTTATTCACAGTTTCGTATGAAAGAAATGCGCCAATTGTTATCATGTAGAAAATGCCGAGGGAAAAGGAGAGAATTTGAATTGAAGAGAGTGTGCCACGTATTTTTTTATCGGCAATCTCGCCAGTGTAAATCATTGAAACGATGAAACTGAAATCACTGATTCCTGATATTATTCGAGCAATATAGAGCCCATGCACCGATTGTGATTGATTGATCAATAGCCAGCCGATAATTTGAGAGAGGCCAACTAACAGAAGACTCAATTTTCTGCCTATACGATCCATTAGAAATGGACACAATGCAAAGCCAATAATCATTCCAATATAATTTAATGATGCAATTAGAGATCCTTGCAATTCGGTAATTTGGATATTTGAGTTTTCACTCCTTAGATATGGAATCGCTGATGTTGACCATGCTATACAGGTTGCTGTACCCGCCATTGTTAAAGATGCTGTTACAGAGGAACATTATTTTCATTACTGTAAATATACTCTAATTCTATTCAATTTCTTTTCATTAAACAATTATTTAATTCATCAAAGGTGGAAGAAATTAACAATTTTACCGAATCAATGATAAAGTCATTTCCTTAAATTATTTAATTTATCATTTCGAAAATAAATTATTTTATTGACTGATTAAACTTGAAAATATATTGATATTAATTATTTAGTAATTAATTAATAAGTAAATACTTTCATTAAAACAGTTACTTGAAATTCCATTCTGTAAATTTATACCTATAATTAATTTTTCTGAGTAATTGATAATTATTTTGAGAAAAGTGATTATTTTAACTAATTGTAAAAACAATAAAAACTAAATTAATCACTGTAATAATAATTTAATATACATATAATATTATATATGGGGCCGTTCATAAATGCAGAAATTCAATTATTTTCAAAAGTAATAAAATTCTTCGCAGAAATTCAATTATTTACAAAAATAATAAAATTCTTCGCAGAAATTCAATTATGTTCAACAAATTTTTTTAAATTCTCATAAAAATTTCAATTATTTTTGGAAATAATTAAATTCTTCTCCGAAATTTAATTATTTTCAAAAATTTTCCTCAATTCAATGATTTTCAATATATCTATTATTTTCATTAAATTTTCCAAAAGAATTCAATTATTTGAAAAAAAAATGTAATTTAAAATTCTACACAAAGTTTTAATTATTTTCAAAAATAAAATTCACAGGTATTTCAATATTTACAAAATTTTTTTTTATAAATTTCTTCGCAATCATTCAATTATTTTCGTAAATAATACAATTCTTTTTAGGAATTCAATTATTTTCGTAAATAATAAAATCCATTTGTAGAATTTCAATTATTTTTAAATACAATTTTAATCGAATTCCTCGAAAAATTTTTTAAAAATTTTATTAAAATTTGTCAAAAGAATTCAGTTTTTAAAATTTATAGATAAAATTCTTTATGAGAATTCAATTTTAAGAGACATGCAATTATTCAATAAATTATTTTTTTTATTTAAATAATTGAATTCTAGTATAGAATATTCTCATAAACATTGATTTAAAAATGGATTTCAGTTAAAATTTTACATTATAATTGAATATTAAAAAAATTGAAGCATAAATTTTTAGAAATAATTGAATTTTGAAAAGGTTTCAGATTAAAATCTTTGAATCTTGAAATTTCGTAAAATTGATTTGTAAACAAATGAATTTTAGAATTCTTAAAAAACTTTTTAAGAAATTATTAAAAATAATGAATTTGTAGAAGATGATCAGTTAAAAACACGAAAAAAAATTCAATTTTGTAGAAGTTACAAATTATTGCAAAAATTCAATTATTTTCAAGAGTAATAATATTCTTCGCAAAAATTAAATATTGTTCAAAAGTAATGAAATTCGTTTTAGAAATTCAATTATTTTCACAAATAATAAAACTCATTGCAGAATTTCAATTATTTTTAATAAAATTTTAATCGAATTTCTCGAAAAATGTAATTATTCTTAAAAATTTTATTAAAATTCGTTGATAGAATTCAATTATTTTAAAATTTGTTAATAACAATTCTTTATGGGAATTGAATTTTAAAAAACATTCAATTATTCAATAAATTATTTATTTTTGTATTTAAATAATTGAATTTTAGTAGAATTTTCTCATAAAAATTGATTTAAAAATGGATTTCAGCTAAAATTTTAAATTTGAATTGAATATTAAAAGCATTGTAGGCAGTCGGAATTTTTTGAAATAATTGAATTTTAATGGTTTCAGATTAAAATCTTTGAAAATTTGAATTTTTCATATTTTTAAATAACAATTCTATGGAATTAATTTTTTTTTGTGAAACTTTAATTGCGGAATTTTTTCGAAATTATTTAAACTTTTTATTGTCTAATATATAGTTAATTAAAGAATTTACGTAAAATTGAATTGTATACAAATAAATTTGAAAATTCTTAAAGAACTTTTTTAAAAAATATTAAAAATAATGGATTCATAGAAGATGATCAGTTAAAAACACGAAAAAAAATTCAATTTTGTAAAAGTTACAAATTATTGCAAAAATTCAATTATTTTCAAGAGTAATAATATTCTTCGCAAAAATTAAATATTGTTAAGGAATAAAATTCTTCTTAGGGATTCAATTATTTTTACAAATAATAAAACTCATTACAGAATTTCAATTATTTTTAATAAAATTTTATTCGAATTTCTCGAAAAATGTAATTATTCTTAAAATTGTTTATAAAAATTTGTCGAAAGAATTCAATTATTTAAAAATTATGAGAATTCAATGTTAAGAAACATTCAATTATTTAATAAATTATTTGTTTTTATAGTGATTTTTGTTTGTTTGACCGTATTAAATATTCATTATCTTACAAATGAATATTTGTTTTTATATTTAAATAATTGAATTCTCCGAGAATTTTCTAATAAAAATTAATTTAAAAATGGAGTTTAGTTAAAATTTTAGATAGTAATTGAATATTAAAAGCAATATAGCGTGAATTTTTAAAAATAACTGAATTTTGAAATTAATTTTTTTGAAAAAGTTTAATTGAATTTTTTAATATTATTTGAAGTTTTTATTCTGTAATGTTTATTTAATTGAAGAATTTTCGAATAATTGAAATATCGTAAAATTGAAAATTGTAAACAATTTTATTTGAAAATTGTCAAAGAACTTTTTCGAAAATTATTAAAAATTAATATAGGTAATCGATTTAAAGAAGAATTTTAGTTAAAAATTCTTGTAAATAATAATTGAATTGTAAATGATTTTATCACTCGGTCATCTTTAATTATTACAAAACATGAAGAAAACGATCACTCCGAGTCGAAGACTCGGAGTTATCGATATCTTCATGTTTTATAGTTATGGAAAAATTTAATTTATAGTTTTAAATGTTTGGGACAGTAATCTCATGATACTATGGAACATTTTAAAGCAAAAAATAAAAAATCGATTTTTTAGAAATCCTTGACCAGAAATTTAGTTGTTAATCTTCCAAATAAATATAACTTGAATTTACAGTGTTAAAAATATTTAATGAAATAATTCATATAATGTCAAATAGATAATTAATAATTGGCATATTTATCTCAAGTTAATTACCACAAATTGCAGCTGTATATTGAAATAATATTCCTCCATTTGATGGTCTTTTAACATTTTCGTGATCACTCATATTTTCATTTAAGCTTCAGTTGTTTATGTTCAATTTTATATTTCCAAAAGTTTCCTTAAGTAATTAAAAACATTATTTTTTTAGTGGATCTTAAGATATTTATAATTGAGATTTATGTTAAGTAAATTAAAATTTTTTATATTCACTAAAATAATCAAAATAGCAAGACATTTATATTATCTTTTTATTTACATCCTCTTTTTAATGCCGTTCTTGATAATCTTATATGAGGTGTTTCTTATTTCAGATGTCTCCGGACGGTACTGGAAATTCTCTTATGGAGTATGCGTTTCTTATGCAAATAAGGAAAGAAAAAAAAATTAGCAATGCTCGGAAGGGAAAGTGTGATTGAAATATTCGAAAGTCTATACAAGAAGTTTTAAAAGGAAATACAATAATAAGCAATGTAACATTATCAAAATTTGTCACGATAAAAAGAGATTTTTTTGAAAACTAATTGTTTTAAAATATCCTTAAGTATAAAAAACAAATTATAATTATTGTTTTTGCTACTTAAGAATCAAAATTAGTAGTTTTACTGAAGCAATTAAAATTAATTTAAACGATGTTCAGTGTTAAATATTTTATATTTTTTATTGTTTTATTTTTACAACTTGTTCCAATTGAAAATTTGTTTATAATAAATAAATAATTTATAATAATTAAATAATTTATTATAATAATATAAATTTTCTAAAATTATATTTTATTATTCAATTTCGAAGATTAGAATAATTTTCACTTGAATCAAATAAAGAGCGCGGCGCGACATTTTTTTACCGCATTTGTTTTTCATAAGAATTAAGTAACAAATATTTAAAAATTATATTTACTTATTTTTAGTATGTAATTAAAAAAGTATAATTAACAAGAAGTTAAAAATTCTTAAAATAATTATTTAAAAAATTTTTTTTGTAATTTGTAATTAACGCGTTTTTTTCGGAGGAAGAGATTTACTTCGTCTTGAAGTTCTGAAAAATTTTCTATCAGCCAATCGTTCCCGTTCCTAAAAAAATGTTTAAATTAATAATTAACGAGGAAATCAAAAAGATTTTAATTTAAACTTTTATATTTACTTTCTGCTTTGATCTCACTTCACTTGACTTTGCAACAACATTTGCATTTTCTTCTTTATCTTTAATAACTTTTTGAACTTCAATTTTTTGATTTTTTTGCGACTAAAAATAAAAATTAAATAACATTATTAATCATAGAAATAAAAGAATTGTCAAACATTTTCATTGTTAACTGTTGAATATTATTTTTCAATATTAAATTGTTTTTGATAAAAAAAAAATTTCAAGTGTTAAACTCACTCCAAATTCAGAAAAGAGTTTTTCTAACGATGTATGTGAATCGGATTTAAAGGCATAAATATCGTCAGCAGATTTCTGAAAAATAATTAAATTTTAATAAATTGAGAGTTTGGATCAAATAACTAGACAAAGTATTATCAAGTTATTTAAGGACTCTCAATTCTTTAATCTGAAAAAATAGAGAAAATAAAAATAATATAGGGAATAAATAGTATTTTGAGCAACAAGGGAAGATATATTTTTTGACCAATCAATTGTTTCTTGAGATAGTTGTATTGTAGCAATATAATAAATAAATAATTATAAATTTTTTACTCACTTGAAATTTATTGATACTTTTTGGACTCTTCTGTGACTGAACATAAAAGCAAAAATATCCAGTTTGATTAAAAAATATTGAAAATACAATTTTTATACCTAATTATAAATATACATTTTTAATATTTTTAAAATAATGTAGAAGTGTTTACACTTACTCCAAATTGAGAAAAAATTTGATCAAATAATCGTTCACCGGACTTAGTAGACTTAGAGTCTAAATCATCATTGGATTTCTGTAAATATAGTTATTTGTGATAATGAACCATTTCAAGAATTCGTTATAAAAAGGGCTCGAACCAGTGAAAGTATTTAAAAATACGGACTTTACGGACCAAAAATGAAAAATTACGGACCAATTTTACTTAAAACTATAACTCGGAGTGATCGATTTCTTCTTGTTTTATAATAATTATAAAGATGACCTAGTGATAAAATCATTATCAATTCAATTATGATTTACAAGAATTTTTAACTAAAATTCTTCTTTAAATCGATAATCTATATTAATTTTTAATAATTTTCGAAAAAGTTCTTTGACAATTTTCAAATACATTTCTTTACAATATTCAATTTTACGAAATTTCAATTATTCGTAAATTCTCCAATTAAATAAATATTAGAAAATAAAAACTTCAAATAATATTAAAAAAATTCAATAAAACTTTTTCAAAAAAAATTAATTTCTAAATTCAGTTATTTTTAAAAATTCAAGCTATATTGCTTTAATATTCAATTATTATCTAAAATTTTAAATAAAATCCATTTTTAAATTAATTTTTATTAGAAAATTCTCGGAGAATTCAATATTATTTAAATACAAAAACAAATAATTTATTAAATAATTGAATGATTCTTAACATTGAATTCTCATAAATAATTTTTAAATAATTGAATTCTTTCCACGAGATTTAATAAAATTTTTAAGAATAATTACATTTTTCGGGAAAATTTATTAAAAATCTATTGAAAAAAAATTGAAATTCTGCAATGAGTTTTATTAATATTGTGAAAATAATTGAATCCTTAAGAAGAATTTTATTACTTTTAAACAATATTTAATTTTTGCGAAGAATATTATTACTCTTGAAAATAATTGAATTTTTGCAATAATTTGTAACTTTTACAAAATTGAATTTTTTTTCGTGTTTTTAACTTATCATCTTCTATAAATCCATTATTTTTAATAATTTTTGAAAAAGTTCTTTAAGAATTTTCAAATTCATTTCTTTACATTTTACAATTCAATTTTACAAAATTTCAATTATTTGTAAATACTTCAATTAAATACATATTAGAAAATAAAAATTTTAAATAATTTCAAAAAAAATCCGCAATTAAAGTTTCTCAAAAAAAATTAATTCCACAGAATTGTTAGTAAAAAATATGAAAAATTCAAATTTTCAAAGATTTCAATCTGAAATCTTTTCAAAATTCAATTATTTCTAAAAATTTTGGCTCTAATGCTTTTAAAATTCAATTATAATCTAAAATTTTAGCTGAAATCAATTTTTATTAGAAAATTCTATTAGAATTCAATTATTTAAATACAAAAATGAATAATTTCTTGGATAATTGAAAGTTTCTTAAAATTCAATTCTCATAAAGAATGGTTATCAACAAATTTCCAAATAATTGAATTCTATCAACGAAATTATTTAATAAAATTTTTAAGTATAATTTTTGGAAACAGTTCTTTAAGAATTTTCAAATTCATTTGTTAACAATTTAATTTTACAAAATTACAATTATTCGTAAATTCTTTAATAAAATATATAATTAGAAATTAAAAACTTGAAATAATTTCAAAAAAAATTAATTCCACAGAATATTCTTAGTTAAAAATATAAAAAATTCAGATTTTTAAAGATTATTATATAAAATTTCAACTGAAATTAATTTTTAAATCAATTTTTATTAGAAAATTCTACTAGAATTCAATTATTTAAAATTTAAATACAAAAAAACAATTTATTGAATAATTGAATGTTTCTTAAAATTGAATTGTTATAAAGAATGTTATCAATAAATTTGATAAAGTAAAAATAAATTTAAAAAATTTTTAATTTAATTTTAAATTCAAAAATTTTAGATAATTTAATATTTTTGATAAATTTTAATAAAATCTTTAAGAATAATTACATTTTTCGAGAAATTCGATGAATTTTTTGGAAAATTTTATTAAAATAGTAGATATTAAAAATCATTGAATTTTGGAAAAGAATTAAATTAAAATTCCTTAAAATAATTTATTTTATGTGAAGAATTTTGTTGTTTATCAAGATAATTGAATTCTTTTGCAAAATTATTTAAAAATTAAAATATTTTTGAATTATTGCAAAGAATTTTATTATTTTTTTGAATGATTGAATGTTTCTTAAAATTGAATTCTCATAAAGAATTTTATCAACAAATTTTTAATTAATTCGATTAAAATTACATTAAAAATAATTGAAATTCTGCAATGAATTTTATTATTTACGAAAACAATTGAATTTCTAAAAAGAATTTTATTATTTACGAAAATAATTGAATTCCTGTAAAAATTTTATTATTTATGAAAATAATTGAATGATTGCGAATAAATTTTTAAAAAAATTTGTATACAATGAAAAAATAATGAAATTATGGACTTTACGGACCTTTTTTTAAAAGAACAGACTTTTACGGACTTTAAGTGAAGTTACGGACTTTTATGGGATTTGCGGACCCAGTTCGAGCCCTGATTGTATAAAAATTTTTAATTACGTATTTTTGTAAATAAAATTAGTAATAATACCTAATTTATGAAACATTTGAACTTACACGAAATGGAGAGGACGTTTTCATTCTATCAACTGTCTGCTGCGTTAATTTTTTATCGGAGTTCTGAAAAATTACATTAATATTTTAATTTATTTTTATAAATAAAAATGTAAAAAAAATTACACAATATTTGAACGTACGTGAAATGGAGAGGACGTTTTCATTCTATCAACTGTCTGCTGCGTTAATTTTTTATCGGAGTTCTGAAAAATTACATTAATATTTTAATTTATTTTTATAAATAAAAATGTAAAAAAAAAATTACACAATATTTGAACGTACGTGAAATGGAGAAGAAAATTTTTTATTTTCAACTGTCGTCTGCGATGACTTTTTTTCAGAATTCTAAAAAATTATATTAATTTTTTATTTTCAAAAATAAAAATATAAATAAATTTTTGAGCTTACGCATTGAAGAAATAATTTTACCTCAGATTCAATTTTTTGTGACTGTAACGTTGGAAGTTTAGATTTCAGTGATTTTATTAAAGTCATTGTTTCTTCATTCAAATTTACTTGTTCTTCTTTTATTATTGAAGGTTTCTTTTTCTTCTCCGTTTCTTCTTTTATAATCAGATCGGTTTTTTCTTTTCTTAATTCTATTTCTTTTTCCGATTTTTCTTTTTCTTTCAACTCCGCTTCTGTTTTCAATCTACCTTCTTTCCACAATTTGTTGATCTCCTCATTTTTAAATTCTAATTTTTTTGTTGTTTGAATTTCATTTCTCTCATCTCTTAAGTTTTTTAATTCATTTTCTGCATCTTCGATTTGCTTTTCCAAGTCGGTAAATTGTTTCTCGCCTGATTTTAATTCTTGATTTACCTATATTGGAATAAAAATAAATAGGGTAGAGTGGGGTGAAGAAACTTTTTCAAAAAAATTAATTTTAAAATTCAATTATTTCTAAAAATTCACGCTCTAATGCTTTTAATGTTCATTTGTTATCTAAAATTTTAACTAAAATTCATTTTTAAATCAATTTTTTTAAAGAATATTCTACGAGAATTCAATTATTTAAATACAAAAATAAATAATAATTTATTCAGAAAAACTGACTTTTAAGGACTTGAAGCAAATTTACGGACCTTTACGGGATTTACGGACCTAGTTCGAGCCCTGTATATTAAATAAATAAAATAGATTTAAAAAATATTTACTTCTCTGTAGACACTTCGGTATTTCTTGGCTTTTTGTTCAAGTTCCTTGAGTTTCAGATGGTGAACATTTGTTAAAGATGTTTTTTTCTTCTCGGCTGTGTCTACATCTATCTTTAATTTAATTTTTAACTCTTCAAAGGTTCTTGTAACATTGGAATCCAATAAATCTGGATATTCTTCAAAGTGTTCTTTATTTTTTTCCTTTATTAGCTTGTAAGATTCCATCAGTTCATTGTGTTTCTTCTTTTTTTGGTCAATTTCTGATTTTAAATTTCGAATTATTTCCTCCTCTTCATTGTAATTCGAAAAATTATTTAATTTTCGTAAAATTTCAAAATTCTCTTTCGTAAGAGTCTCGTATTGAAGATTCAATTCTTCCTCTTCCTATATAAAATGTTATTAATTCTTATCATATTTTTATATTAAGGAGACTTTCTGGTCAAGGATTTAAAAAAAATCAATTTTTCATTTTTTGATTTAAAATGTTCCATAGTATCATGAGATTGCTGTCCCAAACATTTAAAACTATAAATTAAATTTTTCCATAACTATAAAACATGAAGATATCGATTTCTTCGTGTTTTATAATAATTATAAAGATGACCGAGTGATAAAATCATTATCAATTCAATTATTATTTACAAGAATTTTTAACTAAAATTCTTCTTTAAATCAATTAATTTTCGAAAAGTCCTTTGACAATTTTCAAATTCATTTCTTTACAATTCAATTTTACAAAATTTCAATTATTCGTAAATTCTTCAATTAAATACATATTAGTAAATAAAAATTTTAAATAATTTCAAAAAAAATTCGCAATTAAAGTTTCTCAAAAAAAATTAATTCCACAGAATTGTTAGTAAAAAATATGAAAAATTCAAATTTTCAAAGATTTCAATTTGAAATCTTTTCAAAATTCAATTATTTCTAAAAATTTTGGCTCTAATGCTTTTAAAATTCAATTATAATCTAAAATTTTAGCTAAAATCAATTTTTAAATCAATTTTTATTAGAAAATTCTATTAGAACTCAGTTAATTAAATACAAAAAAATAGTTTATTGAATAAAAATAATTGAAATTCTGCGATGAGTTTTATTATTTTTGAAAATAATTGAATTTTTGCAATAATTTGTAACTTTTACAAAATTGAATTTTTTTTCGTGAACATCTTCTATAAAACCATTATTTTTAATAATTTCTTAAAAAGTTTTTTAAGAATTCTAAAATTCATTTGTTTACAAATCAATTTTACGAAATTTCAAGATTGAAAGATTTTATTCTGAAACCTTTTCAAAATTCAATTATTTCTAAAAATTTACGCTCTAATGCTTTTAATATTCAATTATAATCTAAAATTTTAACTGTAATACATTTTTAAATCAATGTTTATGAGTAAATTCTACTAGAATTTAATTATTTAAATACAAAAATAACAATTTATTGAATAATTGCATGTTTCTTAAAATTGAATTCTCCTAAAGAACATTATCTATAAATTTTTAAATAACTGAATTTTTTTGACAAATTTTAATAAAATTTTTAAGAATAATTGAATTTTGGCGAAGAATTTAATTATTTCTAAAGATTAATGAAACTTTGACGAGAATTTAAAAAAATGTTGAACATAATTGAATTTCTACGAAGAATTTTATTACTTTTGTAAATAATTGAAATTCTGCAATCAATTGTAATTTCTCTAAAATTATCCAATAATTTATATCGTACATACAATTTACGAACTTTTCATCCTTTTTGAAACAAATTACGGACTTTAAGAAGCTTTTTGAATCAAATTACGGACTTTTACGGGATTTACGGACCTAGTTCGAGCCCTGCATTTGAATTTTTATTTTATGTAAAGCATGTTGCCCGGAAACTGTCTCCCGAATAAAAAATAAATTCATAATTTAAAATTATCAGTATACGTACATTATTTAATAATTTCATTTCATTTGAAATTTCTTCTCGTGTTAATAGTTTTAATTCCTTGTCTACTGCAATTAATGTCTCATCAATTTTTCCCTTCTCTTTGGTTTTCAATGAAAACGAAGCAATCGACGTCTTTGTCTCATTCAATTTACAACGAAGCTTCAAAAAACAATTTGTTAAATCCGAAAGTTTATTCACGGCTTCTAAGGAAAATTGTTTATTTTTTATCTTATTCTGCGTAGTACGAATTTTTGTTGTCAAGTTAATAGGTCTGAAAATAAAATTAATAATTAATTTATAAGTAAAATTTAAAAAATTAATTGAATTAAGCGATAAAGCCACTCTAGAATTTTTCAAAATTCATACTACAATATATGTTAAATAGAAATTCTTTTCCATATTCCCAGAATAAATTCTTAAAAATTAGTCTATTTTTCAACCTCTAGAGTAGATTTACACCTTAAATTGCATAAAATATTTTAATGTAATCAATAATTTCCCGTTATTACCGAAAATCATGGGAATCCAATTTTTCAGATAGCATTTCCTTCATTCTAACGTGGAGAATATCCAAAGTTTCATTAACGTAGTTCAAACTTTCTAAGTCCTTCTGACGTTCAACAATTTCTGCTTCAAATTTATTCAGTTCCTAAAAATGTTCATGAAATAATCAATTTCATAATAAAATATAATTACAATAATATTTCAATTATCAAGATTAATTGAGAATCTTGAATTTTAAATTTAAAAAATCTAATGCCAGATTCAAAATCAACGACTCCAGAAACACTCGAGGAACAAGTATCAAATAAATCTGATAAGCTTGCAAAATGTTTCAAGCGAAACAATTTAAATTCAATTGTAAGTTATAAATACATACTTGGGCGTATTTGGAATTATTTTCCAAACGTCGAAAAGTTTCTTCTTGTAAAAACAAATTAAGATCAACTTCTTCTGTTAATAACATGAGATTGAGTCTAAAAAAAGAAAAAAATCATTATTGAACGCCGGAATACATTTTTTAAAAAAATATAATCTTGCAAATATTACTCTTTAACGTCGTTCAGTTTCTTTTTTACATCACTTAAATGGCTATCTGATATTTTCAATTTCTCATTTTCATTCTTCAGTTCGGCTAGCTGTTCCTCTAATTTTTCTAATTCAATTCTTTTCAACTCTACAAGAAACAAAATGTAATTAAAATTATTAAAAAAAGTTCTTATAATCAAACAAACTGAAAAAATAATTTTTCAACGGGTTCATGAATCTAAAATTGTTTTACACACCTATATCGGAATTTTTGGCATCATTCGATAATTTAGTAAAAATGTCTTTCTTTCTATTGAGTTTCTTGTTTAAATTTTGAATTAAAAGAGATCTCATGTCACACAATTCAGCTAGTTTTTGATCAATCCCTTTTTGAAGCTCAACCATACTTCGAATGTCTTCATATAAACTATTAATATCTTCCTGTACATTATTATATCTAAAAAAATTTTTTTAAAATTATACTTCTTTCATAATTTACTGAAGTTGAATTTATTAATAATTCTTGAAATAATTACAACATATTAACTGAATATTTCATAAAAACAATTTTTTTTTATCGAATATGTCATTATTACAAATTATTATAAAAAAAAATATTTACAATTTATTAGGAGACTTATTTGTATATAATTTTAAAAAAGAAGAAAATTTGTTACTTACATATCCACACAGAATTTGAGATCTATAATTGCCGTTCTTTGTTTTGCTTCAAATTTTACCTTTTCTTTTGTTAATTCAGAAAATTTTAAATCAATAGATGATTTTTTTAACAGCAGAGCAGCTTGTTGCGACTGGAAAGTTTTGAAAATGTCTGATTTCGCTACCTAAACAAAAAAAAAATTTTTATTGTTTTGAAAATAATTGAATTTTTGTGTAGAATCTTATAAAAACTCTTGTTTAATAATGAAATTCTTTTGAGAAATTTTATTAAAATAGAATTTTGAAAACGATTGAAGTAAGAAAAATTTTCGAAAATAATTGAAATTTTTTGATGATTTTTATTAAAATTTTTGAAAATATTTAAATTATTGTAATGAATACTACTATTTATGAAAATATTTGAATTTTGCAATGAATTTTATTAAAATTCCTCAAAATAATTGAATTTTGCTATTTATTTATAAAAATAACTAAAATGTTGATCACAATTTAAAAAAAATTTTTTAAACCTAATTGAATTTTTGCGAAGAATATTATTAATTTTTAAAATAATTTAATTCTTGTGATGAATATTGTTACTAATGAAAATAATTGAATAATTTTATAATGAATTTTATTAAAGTGCCTGAATATAATTGAATTTTGGCAAAGAATTTTGATATTTAAAATGATAATTGAAATATTCACGAGAATCAATCAAAATTCATAACTTAATTGCGAAGTTCAAAAATTGTTTAGCATTAATTACAGAATACTTTTTTATTATAAAGAGTGTAAATTGTAAATCCGTGTAATGAGTAAAATAAAATAAAAATAAAATACTCAATTTTACGAAATTTCAACTATTCGTAAATTCTTCAATTAAATATAATATTATATTAGAAAAAAAATTTAAATAATTTTTTAAAAAAATCCTCAATTGAACTTTTTCATAAAAATTAATTTCAAAATTCAATTATTTCTTAAGATTCACGCTATATTGCTTTTAATATTCAATTATTATTTAAACTCTTAACTGAAATTCATTTTTTAAACTCAATTTTTATTAGAATGTAATTGATTAAATACAAAAATAAAAAATTTATTGAATTATTGACTGTTTCTTAAAATTAAATTCTCATAAAGAATTTTACCAACAAATTTTTAAATTGATGACGAATTTTAATAAAATTTTTAAGGATAATTACATTTTTCGAAGAATTTAATTAAAATTGTATTAAAAATAATTGAAATTTTTGAATGGGTTATTATTTATGGAAATAATTGAATTCTCGAAAAGAATTTTATTAAATTTTTGAGAATAATTGAATGTCTGTGTGGCATTTTATTAAATTTTTTTGAAAATAATATTTAATTCCTGAAAACCATTTTATAAACTATGAAATTAATTGAATTCTTGCGAACGATTATATTAGAATTTTTTAAAATAATTGAATTTTCAAGAAGAAATTTATTTCTATTAAAAATAATTGAATTCTTGTTATGAATATATAGTTATTTATGAAAAAAATTGAATTTTGCAAAGAATTTTATAATAAACGCCTCAAAATAATTGAATTTTCATAAAATCTGAAAGAATAATAATTGAATTATTTCAAAAGAAATGTAATTGAAATTGTATTTAAAATAATTGATTTTATTCGAACAATTCTATTCAAATATTTAAAAACAATTGAATTCCTGTGAAAAATTCTGATATTTTTGTAAATAACTAAATTCTTCCAAAGAAAAAAAAACTTTTTTTTAAATAATAGATTTTTTCAAGGAATTGAAATGAAATTTTTAAGAATAATTACATTTTTTGATCAATTCCTGTTAAATTGTATTACAAATAATTGAAATCCTACGATGAATTTTATTATTTATGAAAATAATTTATTTCCTGAGAAGAATTTTATTATTTATAAAAATAATTGAATTATTGCGAAAAATTTTATTGAAATGATTAAAAAGAATTGAATTTTTGTGAAGTTTTGTTATTTTTGAAAATAATTGAATTTTGCAAAGAATATTTATTAAAATGCCTCTAAATAATTGAATTTTCGGGAATAATTTTGTTATTTATCTTTAATAATTGAATTCTTTCGAAGAATTATTTATGTAAATAATTGAATTCTTTTGGAGAATGTAATCAAAATTGTATTATTGAAAATAATTCAATTATTGCGAAGAAATTTATTTAAAAAAATTTGTAAATAATAGAATTCCTGTGAAATGTTTATTATTTCATGAAAATAATTAAAAATTTTTAGATAATTAGATTTCTTTTGAAAAATTTTATTAAAACAGAAGAATTAATGGAAAAAATAGATATGAGGAACATTTTTGAAAATAACTGAAATTTTGCCAAGAATATTATTATAATTTTTGAAAATAATAAAATTTCGGACAAGAATAATTTATTATTTCTAAAGATAATTGAAATTTTGACGAGAATTTGAAAAAATTTTTAAATATAATTCGATTTCTGAGAAGAATGTTATTTTATTATAATTTTAATAACATTAAAAATATTAAATTAAAATTTTTACCGGTGTCGAAGGTCCAGATGATTTTGTTGAGTCATTATTTTTCCAAGTTTCAAATAGTTGATCAATTAGTTTTTTTGGATGTTGAGAAGACTGTGATGCTGAGATATGTGAGGAATTTGGTTTTTTCCTTTTATATTCACTACTATCGTCCTTTGATGATCGTCTTTTGCGGTTTTCAGGATTTTCATCTTCCATTTTCTAATTGGAACAAAAAAACAAATTAATTACTTATGAGAAAAGAAAGATTTCTCTTTTAAATTCAAGGTCATCCATAGATTAGTTTATTCATTTGTTTTTCTGTGTTCTGTCACTGCCTTGCAGTTAAAAACTTGTCAAAGATTTTCTTTTTCAAGTGGTTTGTCTTCTTTTCTTCCGTTTTAGACAAAATCAGAAATTTTGAAAAATAGACAGCGATATTTAAAAGTATTTTTTCAAATATTTACAACGATTTGGCCAAACATTTCCATCAAATACTTGAAGAAATTATCAATATTTTTCCCTCGAAAAGGATAAAGGCTATACAGTTAACGACACCCGCTATTAAGAACAATAATAAAGAAAGCAGGTTATGTAAATAAATTTTAAGATATCAATATTACAAAATGAAATATTTGAAAGTTGATAAGGTAGCAGGAATATTTAAATTAATCTCCATTTTTTATGATATTATACCTCGAGGGAAGATAACCTCAAAATATAATTTTGAGGTTTATCTTCACACAAAGTGGAATTTATATCAAAAACATAAACTAATGTAATATTTCTGCTACTTTGATAATCTACAAATATTCTATTTTAAAATATATTTTAATAACATGTTTTCCTTATTTATTATCGTTCTTAATAACGGGTCTCATTCACTGTAGGCTTTGTCGCTTTTTTCTGTATTTTCGTAATTTAATTTATTTTATTGAAAAACAACAAAATTTTTATTATTGCACAACAAAAACAAGAATTAACATTAATTAAAGCATACATGAAATATTTATCTGAAAATAAATTATAAGATACCTTCTAAATGCAGAAAAACTTTTTTTCAATTTGTAAAATTTAACTTCATTTAAGCACGACTGTCCGTTGGTTGCTAAGTCGAGAAGAATGAGAGAGGGTGCAGGGTGCGCACGTTCATAGCTATAGCTATAATAAAGGCTTTTCTTCAATAGGATACCAAAAGCATATAGGCCAACACACAATACATTCACGTAAATCGTTTGCGAACGAGATGCATGAGATAGAAAAAGACACACACATTCTAACTCATGCCTTGCGTTGCCAAACGAAGCAGAGTGGGTGATTTCGTCGAATTTAATATCAAAATCGTAGAAGTCTGAATAAAAACATCATAAATGGATAACATTTTTTGGAGAGTATAGATTAGAGTCTACAGAATAGAGGGAAAATATTGAGAAGCATCAAAAAAATTTTATAACCTCAAAAATATATATGAAAGTCAGCAGTTCACCATTTTTGGTAAGAAATCTCTATTTTTCATGAATGATTAAGTTTAAAAATTGCACTTCTTTAAAACAACTTTTTTATAAGTAGATTTTGAGTCAATTGATTCAATACCTTCAATAAAAATTAATTAAATATTGTATGGTTTTGAATAAACGAGGTAATAAATATCATACTTTATCTCTCCTCTTTTAAACCTTTTAAACCAGGGTGTCTAACAAAAATTCGAAAAACCGAATTTCTTAAAATTCAACATTTTTTCTTCTTTTTTTATGACATTTAGCTTCATTATTTTTGGGCTCTTCAAAAACACTTTACTTACTTAATAGTCTTCACCCTTTGGTAAAAAATTTGAAATTATTAAAAATTATTAAAAATTCAAAAAACCGAATTTCTTAAAATTCAACATTTTTTCTTCTCTTTTATGGCATTTAGCTTCACTATTTTTGTGCTCTTCAAAAACACTTTACTTATTTAATAGTCTTCACCCTTTAGAAAAAATTTGAAATTATTAAAAATTATCAAAAATTCGAAAAACCGAATTTCTTAATAATTTTAGATTCTAAAAAAATAATTGAATTCTTTTGGAAAATTTTATTAAAATAGATATTAAAAATCATTGAGCTTAGAAAATTTTTTGCAAATAATTGAAATTTTGACAAGAATTTTATTTAAATTTTTGAAAATAATTGCATTTCGAAGGAGAATTTTATTACTTTTGGAAATAATTGAATTTCTGCAATCAATTGTAACTTCTCCAAATTATATTGAACAATTTACGAATTTTTTTTTGCTTGTTTAATCAAACTACGGACCTTTTTTTTGAAGAAAAACGGACTTTAATCAAATTTACAGATCTAGATTGAGCCCTGCATTTTTATACTTACATCTTAGTTTGGAAATTTGGAAATTTTCAATTTTTTGACAAAATTGAATCTTTCGTTCTAATTAATATTTTTTAAATCTGCAAATTTATAAACCTTCCTTGGGTGATACTATCCTTTCCACTCTCACGAAATGAGACCTTACAAAGGGTAATTTGTTAATTAGTTAAGATTACATGACAAAAAAATAATCGAAATACATGAAATAATTCTGATTTCTATTTATTTTCGATTTTCATTATAAATAAAGCGCAGCACACACACATTCATACTCGCAGCCGTGGATCTACCACGACTCATTCTCCCAAATTAATAATAAACGTGTTGAGCCGACTTGTCACATCGAAATAGCTTCGTTAATTATTTATCGGATTTCCTAAAAAAAATCATATATGGTGCTTCAGGCACTTTCTAATGTTTTTGTCTTCATTTGGATAAATTTCTAAAAAAAAAAAAAACAGTTTTAATACAATTTAATGATTATGTCCTGAAAATAAAAACGAATCAGGTGATATAATTCTAGCACCACAATACATTTCAGTTTCAAGTACTATTCACAAAGAGCTTTTTCTCTTTTTCTTTTCAAATCTATAATTTATTCTAGACAACAATTGTTAGGATTTGCTCTCACTAATACTTATGCAATATTGTCTATGTGTTCTCATTTCATCACATGCTAAAATAATTAAATAATTTATAATTACAATTCAGTTAGGAAAATTCATTACATTGATTTCTATAAAATCAAGAAGAATATCCATCGAGACTAAAAGGTTTAGCATTATTAATGAGAAAAGAATATTTCTTTATACGAATGAATACTCGTCATAGGAGCACTACTATATACCATTGTTTATGAAATGAAGAAATTATATTCCCATTTTATTCATCAACAATAATAAACAGCAATGCTTTTGTGATTTATTAATTTCGCTATTTTTCTTTCGAACACGTGGTGATACAACAATTAATGTTTTCTATGCCAGGTATTTCAATTTCTCTATATTTTTTTAGTCTATTTTAACTCTTCGACAAAAGTCAGTCGCTCAGGACGAGATTTTGGAGTTGATTCTATAATTACATAGTCTAGCTCCGATTTGAGATGACGTGATCTTCGATGATTTACAATGACTTCGAGTGGAGATAAATTATTTTTTTCTGGAGCGAGGATGATAATTTGCTTGTTATTTTAAGCCTTAACGGCCTTCATGAGGAGATCAGTGCTAAGAGATTTTGGCCTTTCGATTGGTAGACCAAGAGCTCGAGACCAAACGAGTGATGCGAGTACTCCTAGAGCGCGTGACACTCCAAAGAGGACGGTGTAATAGTTCATTTCCTTCATTCCGTAATATTGCAAAAGAACTCCCGAATGGGCGTCTACATTTGGCCATGGGTTCTTTACTTTTCCTGTTTCCAGAAGAATTGGAGGTACAACCTTGTATACCTGCGATACCAACTGAAAAAGAATATTTCAAATTATTTTTGTGTATACTTTTGTTTTTTTTTTTTTCTTTAAAAAATAAGATGTTCAAAAATTTCAAATTCAAACCTTTTCAAATTGAACAACTCATAAGAATATTATTATAAAACATAAAGATATCGATCACTCCGAGTCTTCGACTCGGAGTGATCCATTTCTTTATGTTTTATAATAATTAAAGATGACCGACTGACAAAATAATTAGTTTATTATTATAAGAATATTGTTACTGTAATTTCTTCAAAATTATTTGTGTCATTTCAATTCAATTTACATTTTCTAGAATTTTTAACTAAAATTCTACAGGGTGTCTAACAAGGATTGAGAAAAAAATTCCCTGACTTTTCCATGACTTTTCCCTGACTTTTTACTAATTTTATTTTTGCTTTCTTGCGACAAAAATATGGTAACTGACATATTTAACAATAAATTAATATCTAATAATAGCAACAAACGATAATAAAAATCTTCTAAGTTTTGTTAAATTAAAAAAATTTTCTATTCACAAAAAATTTTAATTTTTGTATAAATTTTTAGAAATTTCCCTGACTTTCAATGAAATTTTCTGCCATTCCCTGACTTTTCCATGACTTTTCCCTGACCAAAAAAATTCCCTGACTTTTCCCTGACTTCCCTGACCGTTAGACACCCTGTTCTACTTTAAATCAAAAACATCAATTATTATTCAATTAAACTTTTTCAAAAAAATTAATTCTACAGAATTGTTAGTTAAAAGTACGAAAAATAATAATTTAATTCTACGAGAAATCATTTATTTAAATACAAAAATAAATAATATTGAATGTTTCTTTAAATTTAATTTTTACGAAGAATTGTATTAATAATAATTAATAATTATTAATAATAATAATTAATAATAATAATAATAATAATTAATAATAATAATTAATAATTTTTTAAAAATAATTAAATTCCTGAGAAGAATTTAAATAATAATTTTTGAAAACAATTGAATTCATGAGAAGAATTTTATTAGAATTTTTGAAAATAATTGACTTCTTGAGAAGAATTTAAAAAAAATTGTTGCCAATAATTTAATTCTTGAGAAGAATTTCCCAATCTATTTATAAAAATAATTTAATTCTTGACGAGAATTTTTAAAAAATTTTGAAAATAATTTAATTTTTGCAAAGTATTTTATTACTTTTCAAAAGAATTGAATTCTTGTGATGAATATTGATATTTATCAAAATAATTGAATTTTAGAAAAGAATTTTATTAAAATTCCTTAGAATAATTGATTTGATGGGAAGAATTTATGCGATTTTGTTGTTTATCAAGCTAATTGAATTCTTTTGCAAAATTACTTAAAAATTTTTGAAAATAATTAATTTTCTGCTACAAATTAAATGTTATTTATGAAAATATTTGAATTATTGCAACGAATTTTATTGTTTTATTGAACAATTGAATGTTTCTTAAAATTGAATTCTTTCCTCAAGTTTTAATAAAATTTTGAATAATAATTGCATTTTTCAAGGAATTTATTTAAAATTGTATTAAAAATATTTGAAAATTCTGCGATGAAAATAATTGAATTCATAAATGAAATTTTATTATTTATAAAAATAATTGAATGCTTTCGTAGAATTGTATCAACAAGTTTTTTCAATAATTAAATCTGCTGATAAATTTTATGAAAATAGAAAATATTTAAAAACATTGAATTACGAAAAGCTTTTAAAAATAATTAAAATGTTGCAAAGAATTTTATTTAAATTTTTGAAAATAATTGAATTTTTTGCGAAAAATTTTGCTATTTATAAAAATAATTGAATTCTTGACGAGATATTCATTAAAATTTATAAAAATAATTGAATTCGTGCAAAGTATTTTATTAAATTTTGTTTAAATAATTGAAATTTTGCCAAGAATTTAATTAAAATTTTCGACAATAATTGGATTCTTGAGAAGAATTTTGATATTTATCAAAATAATTGAATTCTTTTGCAGAATTACTTAAAAATTATTGAAAATAATTGATTTCCTGCGACGAAAAAAATAGGCGAAATATTTAAAAATAATTGAATTCTTCAATAGAATTTTAAACAAATATTTCTTTGAATAATTGATTTTTTCGAGAAATTGAAATTCAATTTTTAAGAATAATTTACATTTTTTGAGCAATTTCTGTAAAATTGTTTTAAAAATAATTGAAATCCTGCGATGAGTTTTATTATTTATGAAAATAATAAAAAAATTGAATTTCTGAGGAGAATTTTATTATTTATGAAAATAATTGAATTGTGGATGAATTTTATCAATATTTTTCTTTTAAATAATTGAATTCTTTTGCGAAATTTCATGAAAATACTAGATATTGAAAATAATTTAATTTCGAATATTATTTAAAAATAATTGAATCTTTTTGAAGAATTTGATTATAATTTTTGAAAATAGTTTTTTGATTTCTATTATTATTTTCTAGAATTTTTAATTATTTTTTATGGAAATAATTGAATTCCTTAAAAAAATTTTTATTATTTATGAAAATAATTGAATTATTGCAATAAAATTTATAAAAATTAAATGTTTGCGTACAATTTTATAAAAAAAATTTTAAACAATTGAATTCTTTTTAGAAAATTTTATTAAAATAGTAAATATTGTAAATCATTGAAATTAGAAAAATGCATTTTATTTTTGAAAATAATTGAAATTAGGACAAGAATTTTTTTGACATTTATGAAAATAATTGAACTTTGGAGAAGAATTTTGCTATTTATAAAGATAATTGGGATTTTTAAAAGAATTTTTTTCAAATTTTGAACATAGTTGAATTTTATAAGAATTTCTTTTTCTTTAAATAATTGAATTTCTGCAATTATTTGTAACTTCTCCAAAATTGAATTTTTTTAGTGTTTTCAACAAAAATTTAAATTAGAAAATTTTTAAATTCTATTATTTTTAAAGTATTGCTAATTTTATTTTAAAAAGTAAGTATAAGAAGTTAGTTAGTTAGAATTGTTTCTATTTCTAATAATAAATTTAAAAAATGAGATTATAAAAATTACCTTGAATAAATTATCGTTGGGTAAATGTTTCAAGGCAAACTCCCTCTGGCAGGTGTACCTTGGGTCGGTTTTTCTAAGTACAGCGTGTCCATAACCAGGAACCACTTGTCCACTCTTGAGTGTATTCCAAATGAATTCCTTGAGTTTCTCGTCACTTGGATTTTCGCCTACTTGGCCACGGAGTTTTTGCAGCCAAACAAGTACCTCTTGATTGGCGAGTCCATGAAGAGGACCAGCCAAACCATTCATACCGGCGGCAAACGATAGATAAGGATCCGATAGAGCTGAACCGACAAGATGAGTAGTGTGAGCTGAGACATTGCCACCCTCGTGATCCGAGTGAATTGTCAAATAAAGACGCATCAATTCAATGAATTCGGGATTGTCAAAGCCCAACATTGTCGAAAAATTCCAGGACCAATCTCGACTCGAATCAACGGATCCAATTCCCTTGCCGCCCTTGTACATGTTACGATAAATTGTAGCCGCAACCACGGGCAATTTAGCGATTAGATTCATTGAATCTTCAAGAACAGTTTCCCAATATTTACTTTTGTGTACTCCATTTGTATAGGCCTTGACAAATTCACTTTCGCTATTTAACAGCGTAATTGCCGCTGAGAATTGTGTCATTGGATGAAGAGATTTTGGGAAGTCATTGAGTGCTTTTGTTACGTGACTTGGCAGTGCACTTCTTGATGCCCATTCTTTCGATAAGGCCTTAACTTGCGCCTCGGTTGGTATATCGCCTGTAATTAACAGCCAAAAAAGACCCTCGGGCAATGGTTCCGAACCGCCAGAAGCTTTCGGCAATAATTTCTGACATTCGGGAATTGATTTGCCACGGAATCGAATTCCTTCATCGGCGTCCAGAACTGATGGCTCCCACACTAGACCTTTGATTCCCCTCATTCCTCCATACATCTACAAGAGAAAAAAATGGTTTCAAAATATATAAAATAAATTTTTTTCCTATTTTAAAAACTTAAAATTATTTTTTATACAGCATTTCAAATTCCCTGACTTTTCCAGATTGAAAAACGGAATTTTTATAGGTTTTTAAAACTACATTTTTTATATTTTTTATTATTTTGTATTTTCTAATCTTCTACTGATTTCTAAATTTAATTATTCAAAACTTGAATAACTTCGTTAAATAAATATTTAAATACTTCTTGTTTGGTTTTATACTGGAATAAAATTTTCAAAAATTCTACTTAAAACCTTCTGAAATTTAATAACTTCTAAAAATTACAACTTTAATTCTTTTAAAATTCAATTATTTTCTACAACTTTTAATCAAACTTCTTCTCGAAATCAATTATTTTTAATAATTTTTCGAAAGTTCTTGGAGAATTCAATTATTTAAATACAAAAATTCAGTTTTTTTATAATGATTGTAACTGTCCATGTTTTTTAAGTTATTAATTAATTTTCAAAAAATTATAATAAAGAAATTCTGAAAATTAATTTTTCATAAATTTTTTAAAAATAATTTATCAACGATAATAGTTTTTTTTAATCATATGCAATTTAAAAATTCCCAAACAATTGAAATTTGGTAAATTCTATTCAAAAAAATAATTGAATTTTTAAAGAATTTTAATTATTAATATAAACGTGATTTCTCCAAAATTTTAATTAATCTAAAAAAAGTAAATTTTAAAAAATTTTAATTTACTTTGTTCGAACAGAATTGAATTTCTTAAAAAAATTTTTGTATAATTTAAAAAAAAATAATTTTTTCAAGAATTCTGATTAAAAATTTTGAACATGATTGTTATATGTAAAAATAATTGTACAAAATTTTAATTTTATGAAAGTAATTGAATTTTATGAAAATATTTGAATTCTTCCGAGAAATTCAATTAAAGATGTTTCGAAAGTAATTGAATTCTTGCAAAGAATTTGACTATTTGAAAAAATAATTTAATTGTTTCAAAGGATTCATTAAGATTTTAGAAAATAATTGAATTTATTCGAAATATATTAAAAATTTCTTTCAAAATTAAATACTTACGAGGAATTCAATTAAAATTGAATTTAATTTCAATTATTTTCAAAATTTTCAATTAAAATTCTTCAAAAGTTGATTTTCAAAAATTGTTAAAAACACTTTGAAAAAAATAAATTATAATTATATAATAATAATTGAATTTCTTAAAAAAAATTTTGTATAATTTCAAAAAACTAATTAATTTTTTGATAAATTTTCATAAAAAATTTTGAACATTGTTTTCTCCAAAATGTTAAAAATAATTCTAAAATTTTATTATTTTTGTATGTATTTGAATTTTTGGAAATATGTTATATTGAAAATAATTTAATTGTTTTCCAGAATTCTTAACTAAAATTCTTCTTGAAATTAATTATTTTTAATAATTTTTGAAAAATTTCTTTGAAAAATTTCAAATTCCTTTGTTTACAATTCAATTTTACGAAATTTCATCGATTATTCGGAAATTCTTCATAATATATATTAGAAAATAATAACTTCAAATACTTTACTTAAAAAATTAAATTAAACTTTTTCAAAAAAATTAAATTAAATTATTTCTAAAAATTCACGCTATAATACTTTCTCTCTAAATTTAAATTAGTAAAAATGTTTATTAATTAGAATTAGTGACTGACTTTTTTGCTTTTGAATTAGTAAATTTTGCTATTAAATTAGTAGAAACGACTATTTATTAGTAAAATCTGCTAATTCAAAAGCAAAAAGTCAGTCACTCATTCAAATTAGAAAACATTTTTACTAATTCAAATTTAGAGTTTAATATTCAATTGATATCTACAATTTTAACTGAAAATCATATTTAAATTAATTTTTATTAGAAAATTCTACTAGAATTCAATTATTTAAATACAAAAAGTAAATAATTTATTGAAAAATTGAATGTTTTTTAAAATTGAACTCTCATTTGAAGAATTTTACCAACAAATTTTTAAATAAGTAATTAAAATTCTTTTGACGAATTTAAATAAAATTTTTCGAGAAATTAGATTAAAATTGTATTAAAAATAATTGAACCACTGTAAAAAAATTTGATTGAATTAAGAAAAGTTTTTGAAAATAATTGAAATTTCCGCCAAGAATTTTATTAAATTTTTTGAAAATAATTGAATTTTGGAGAAAAATTTTATTATTTATAAAGATAATTGAAATGTTTGCGAAGAATTTTATTACTTTTTAAAATAATTGAATTCATCAGACGAATTTTAATAATATTTCTTTTCAAATAATTGAATTCTTTTGTGAAATTTTATTGAAATATTAGATATTGAAAATAATTGAATTTTGATAAATTATTGAAATTAATTAAATTTCTACGAAGAATTTTATTAAAATTCTATTGAAAAAAAATTGAATTTTTAAAAATAAGAATTTCATTAAAATTTTTTAAAATAATTTAATTCTTTCAAGAAATTTAATCAAAAATGTATTGACAATGATACTTAAATTCTGATAAATAAATTATATGAAGGCTTTTTAAAATAATTGAATTTCTTTGATGAATTTTAATAAAATTTTTAAGAATAATTACATTTTTAGAGAAATTCCATTAAAATTGTAATAACATTAATTTAAATTCTGCCAAGAATTTTTTTATATTTTTTGAAAATAATTGAATTTATGTAAAAAATTTGATTATTTATTAATAGAATTTTTATTATTATTTTTTATTATTTCGTTAATAATTGTAAAAAAAATTCTTTTCCTTCAAATTAAATTTAAGATAATGAAAACTAATTTTGAGAACTATTGAAATAATATATAATTGAAGAGAATAACTGAAATTATTATTACCATGTCAACAGTAACTTCGCCCACTTTTGTTGCACCAAATTGCTTCCGGAAGGATTTAATTCTTTCTTGTTCAACCGGAATTTTTTCAGCCATCACTTTTCTCAGATCCGTAGATTCTGCAGATAATGAGCGCAGAGCTATCGCAGTAGATAATTTCTGAAAAAACAAGAGTATAAATGGTGCAATTAATAATTACGAGCTTTATTTTTCTTCTTCATATAAAGGAGATAAAACAAAAAGCGACATTATATTTATGTAATTGTTACAAAACAGCGGTAATTTGTCTAGAATAAAAATTTGTCTCCGCTATTTCATTCAAGTTGTGTAAAGAATTAAAAAATAAATAAGAAAATTAAAAATGGAAATTTTTAATAGTAATAAATAAATTAAATAAACAAATTTTATTCATTTAAATCATTTAGGATAAATAAAATTTTATTTAAAAAAACAAATTGCAAAAAAATTCATTTTGCAATAACTTTTATAAAAAAAATTTTTTTCTGTTCTTTGGTGGACACATTCCTAAGGCCAAATAGGAAAATTTTTATTAAAATTTTAATTTAAAAGAACAATTTTCGTACTGAAAAAATTTATTTATTTTATTTAAGAAAAAACAAAGTGTCTATAAGGAAAAGAATGATAAAATTTTAATTATGAAAATCATGGGAAATTAATTGTAAATAATTACAGTAGATATTCATATTTACTTATATTATTAAATATTTAATATAAATATTTAGTATTCATATTTTACAAAGTTAAAAGAAAATTAATTAGAGTTTGAAAAAAATGACGAACTTATTGATAAATTGAATCATAATATTGCAATATTTATGCTTTTCAAATTAAATTTGACGCTTTTAGAGCGAGAGAAAAAAGATGATATCACTCGTCACTTTTGACAAATTAATATATCTCATTGCGACTGTAAAAGGAATCAAACACAAACAGACAAACAATGATTTCTTGCTCACAAGTGTCATGAAGATGAGACATTTTAAAGTTCATTATCAATTGATTCTTTACGGAAATTTGATCGACATTTTGTTTTTTTTTTTTTTTAACTAATTCAAAGTTAAAATAAAATATATTACAATAATAAATTTGAATTTTTTCCCGAATTCTAAATATGAATTTAAAAATTTTATTTCTCTATTTTCTCTTCAACAAAAATTACTAATTACATACTCATTTTTAAAATGGGTAATTAAATTAAAAAATTACCTAACCTGACATAAAATATGCATTTTATCATGAATTCATGACGGAAAATTAAATATACATTTAGTGTTAAATTAATGTTCCAATTTAGTGAAATAATTAGAAAAAAACAAGATCTTTTTACTATAATAAGATAAAGGAAAAATGATGAAAAATAAAATATTGTTACTTTTTAAGTTTTTATTATTTATTCCACCCTGCGAATTACAAAAACATAAATCGGTTGATATTAAAAATGATCAAGTCCCAAAGTTATATATATGAATATCTTTTAAACTTTAGATCCAATTAACACAATACTGCACTAAATTTGCAAAGCAGAGTCCGAAGGTTACATTACACGATTGTCTTTAACAATGTTATCACTCTTATCGACTGTCTCGCTTGGCAATATTACGTCTTATGTATGGTATGTTCTATACTCATATCTAACGAGTTTATGTCCGTCACAATTACAACTAATTTTTCCTTCACTTAATTAGTGACATTGAATTTTCACCGCGAATAGATTAAAGTCTATAAAAAGAAATTTGTCTTTGAAAGAAAAAATATTTAAAAATTTTTAATTTATATATATATATATATATATATATATATATATATATATATATATATATATATATATATATATATATATATATATATATATATATATATATATAACACTGACGGTTACTAGGCTTACCAAGTGGTCAGTTGTCAGTATAGTATCGTATCATTTGCATACTAGGAATTACGTAATGTTATTCAGAAACGTTAGATTCAACGACCCCGTCATAATAATTTGACCTTTTCTAAAGGGACGTCCGAAGGTGAGAAAGAAAAGAAAAAAATGCAAATTAATAAAATTTCCCTTTTATGATAAATTTCCTAGTAAGAATTTTGCATTTGGTGTAGAAATTCGAGTACCTATTAAATTCTAAACTCTTGGTGAGAAGAAGTTTTCCATCGCAATCAGAATCCGAATGAAAATCGAATAATAATGAATAAGTTTTTAAAAACGACAATATTATAACTTGTGAACTGTAAAATGCCAAAGGATTATTAAAAAAAAAAAAAAACTTGTAGCGTTCCAGCGGGGCTAAATTATTCATTATATTCTGATAATTACAATAAGGTGGTAAGTACTGTTGTACAATTATAATAATGGAAAAGAAAACTCATCGCCGTTGAATTGATTTAATACCTTTAATACTATACAAAATGTTACATTAGTGGAAAGAAACTACGTCATTGAATATCACGTGACGTGGCAGCGAGACACGTGCTCATAATGTCCACGTGAAATCGCCAGAGCACGTCACACCACAGGAACTCATTCTCTATTATTTCAGAATGACAAAAAATATTCTTAAATCTGTACTCTAATAATATGTTGTGTATACAAATGAGAATATTTTATTTTAAATCAACAAAAATATTTTAACGACCAGTGGACAAATTTATTAAAAATTAACAAATTCAACTATATTTAGGTCCCTGAAATTGGCGTCGAACAATATTTCTTTCACGAAACAGGAAAAAGTGAAATAAATTTTTGGAAGGTCTTCATATTATCCCATGGGCAAAAATAATACATATGTACTCTTATGCGTTATTTTTTTCCCATGGGATAAAATGAAGGTCATCTTCATACATATCAAACAAGTGAATCACTTTTACTCCCTGTCGTCTGCTATTTGAAATCCACGTTTGTGCCTTTGGAATAAAAAATATCGAGTGAGTAACACGGAAATAAATTGCTGTCTTTGCTCCCCTGTTGCTTAATGTCTCTAAAGAGGTAGTTATTAATAAAATAAAGATAAATGAATTATAATTATAAAAGTACTGGAAAAAATTAAATTTATACAATTTATAAGAAAATTCTAAATTTTTGTGTCTTTTTTGTTTGCCTCATAAACTATAAAATTGACAAGAATTTTAATAAAACCCTTCAATTTTTTCTTATTTCTACCAATAATTTCTTTCTAAATAACTTAATTCTTAAACAACTATCATAAAATTATTACTTAGACATTATTTCAATTATTTTTAATATCTACTATTTTAATCAAATTTTCCAAAAGAATTTAATTATTTAAACAACATTTTAATAAATATTTCACATGAATTCAATTATTTAAAAAAAAAAATTAATAAAATTCTTTGCCAGATTTCAATTTTCAATTTTTTAATGAAATTTCTTGATGAAATTTAATTATTTTCAAAAAGTTTTAAAAAATTCTGAGAAATTCAATTATTTAAAAAAAAAAATTTGAATAAAATTCTTCGCAAGAAATTAATTATTTTCATGAATAATAATATTTTTTCCGGAATTCAATTATCTTTACAAATGAAATTTTTTACAGGAATTCAATTCTTTAAAAAATTTTTTATAAAAATTCGTTGCAAGAATTCAATTATTTTCATAAATAATACATTTTTTATGGGAATTCAATTGCTTAAAAAAATTGAATAAATTTGGAAATTGTGAATCTTTATTTTTTTCAATTTGAATAAAGAATTCTTCGCAAGAAATCAATTATTTTCATAAATAATAAAATTTTTCTCGAAAATTCAATTTTTTTAAAAATTTTTGCTATAAAATGCTTTATAAATTTGAAAAATTATGATAAAATTTATCATACAATAAAATTATTTTCGTAAAATATAACATTCTTTCTAAGAATACAGTTCTTCTCGAAAATGTTTATAAAAGTCTTCAAAAGAATTCAATTATTTTCGTAAAATATAAAATTCTTCGAAGCAATTCAATTATTTAAGGAATTTTAATAAAATTCTTCCCAAGAATTCGATTCATTTCAAAAATAAACATTTTCACAGGAATTCAATTATTTAAAGAAAAATTTAATAAAATTCTTCTTCATGTTTCAATTATTTTCCATTTTTTTTTCATGAAACTTCTCGATGGAATTTAATTATTTTTAAAAAATGTTTTAAATTCTGAGAAATTCATTTATTTAAAAAAATTTGAATGAAATTCTTCCCAAGAAATTAATTATTTTCATAAATAATATTTTTTCCGGAATTCAATTATTTCCACAAATAAAATTCTTCACTGGAATTCAATTCTTTAAAAAATTTTTTAATAAAATTTCTTGCAAGAATTGAATTAGTTTAATAAATAACAAAACTTATCGCAGAATTTAAATCATTTTTTTTTACAATTTTAAATAAAATGATAGAAAATTGCATTTATTCTAAATTTTTTTTTTAATTCACCACAAGAATTAAATTATTTTTAAAAATTTTGATAAAACTCTTCATAAAAATTCAATTTTAAGAAACATTTAATTATTTATTTTTTGTATGTAAATAATTGAATTCACGAAAAATTTTCTAATAAAGATTTATTAAAAAATGAATTTCAGGTAAAATATTAGATTATAATCGAATATTAGAAGAGTTATTAAAAGAGTTATTCAAATATTTTCGTAACAATTAAAATTCTTCGAACTAAATCAATTATTTAAGAAATTTTAATAAAATTCTTCCCAAGAATTCACTTTTTTTCAAAAATAAACATTTTTATAGGAATTCAATTATTTAAAAAAAATAAAATTATTAAATTTTTTTTGCAGATTTCAATTATTTTCAATTTTGTAATGAAATTTCTCGATGGAATTTAATTACTTTCAAAAAGTTTTTAAAAAATTCTGAGAAATTCAATTATTTAAAAAAATTTAAATAAAATTCTTCACAATAAAATTAATTATTTTCATAAATAATAATATTTTTCTCCCGAATTCAATTATTTTGACAAATAAAATTCTACACTGGAATTCAATTCTTTGAAAAAATTTTTAATAAAATTCTTTGCAAGAATTCAATTATTTTCATAAATAACAAAACTTATCGCAGAATTTAAATTATTTTTTATACAATTCTTCATAAAAATTCAATTTTTAGAAATATTTAATTATTTAATAAATTAT